TATTGGTCTTGTCCTCTGAAAAAAACATAATCCACAAAATCAGTATTTTTCGTAAAGAAGAAGGATGCGCTTAGTCGTATGTGAACCAAATTTTGTACTAGGTTCCTTAAACTGGTCGAATAGGCCTTGGATACAGTTTTTGATATTTTGAGCAAATTGGCCAGTTTCACGATACTGGAGGGTGACTTGTATCTCAGATGGGACTGAATTTTTTTTTCCAAAGGGTCACCACGGTTAGGAGAAACATCAGTGAGAAATCTCAGTACCGTAAGTCAAATGCTTCGGCTTGAATACGCGCTAAAACTTGAAAGGTTTGAAAGAAATACCTTATTTTTCATTGTCTCGCTACTCCTGTATTTGGAAGAAATAAAGACCCTGATATATGGCTCTTTGGAGTTAAGATTCTACTAGGAATTTAAAAGCAGGCTATACTTTGTGATATTAAGATTTTTTGGCAGGGGTTTTAGTCAAAACTATTTTTTTCGAGATGTCAGGCAAATAAAACAATAACATTTTCGAAATTATGAAGTCATTTGTGAGTTTCCTGGACAATTTCACTCCAGAACAGTCACACAATATGGAGCCTAATGCATTTTGGAGGCAGGAATAGCAAGAAAATTTAAAAGTTGGAAAAAACCCAAAATTCACAACTTTCAAATCGCGTGCACATCTCGAGACCGAGCCGCTTAACCTAGGATCCTGAAACTTTGAGCATTTAGTGGTACGTTACAGAAAAATGATCTGAGACATGACCCGCCAAAGCGAGGTCGTGGTATCATAGTTTTGACCCACATTGCTTTAATAAAACGTTTCCCACATTGGACCACCTGTTCAGCATCACCCGTGCAATTAAACCGAGCTCCTATGAACGAGTGCATTCGCTTATGCTCATAAACCAATTTCCTCCAGGAAATGAAACAAACTTATGTCACGTATATTTCACCCTTTAGAACTGTCGGCTTACATGAATTCTACCGCAAATGTGCGGGTACCGTGTTGCGGAATTAAAAGCATGGCTCGCGGCGGTTTTCGGTATATTACACCGTTTGCACTGCTCCCTATGCGGCTTGCACCGCCCAAATTGCTATGGTTATCCCGAATATTGATAAAGTTATGTATCGAAATATATGTACATATCCGTTCATGTTAAATATTTACTGGCTGAGTTTCCGTATTCGGAGTTCTACCACCGCCTGTATCACTGTTTTAGTCATGTGGTATTAGTAATGAATAGATGGAATAAGCAGCTATATCAATAATAGACGTAACTGAGTAAGTATTTATTGGATCAGAGTATGCTAGGCTGACAATTTCAATGAATATAACCATTGAATCGCCTTCACAAATAGTCGCCTAGTTTCAAAGTCCCCTAAATCTAATTTTCAACCAAATTGATATAAAGGTGGCATGTCATCTAGTCTAAAATGTGACAGTTTTAGATCCTAAACTCTGCTGAATCACCTCAAATATCGTTGTTTATTTCTTGAGTTGGTTTCAAAATCCCATAATTCCGTAAGTGACTGGAGTCCAAAAACCCTTACATCCATTCAGTAACAGCACCCCCTAAGTGTACAATATTTGTATATAAAAAAATCCACTAAGGTCATCTGTTTTATGATTTTTGTGCGCGCCTTCATACATACCATGTGTTAGAGCTTATTCCACATATATCAAAAACCTGTTTGTGAGTTCAGCCAATCAGGGGATACCTTATTGAAATGCAATTTGACGCAAACCTGTCAAACGTATCTGAATATCAAATAGAATTAAACAAAGTTGATATAAATGCGAAATAGTGAATGAATTGTTGTGCAAAAAAGTTCGGACGGAGATTATAGCGATCGGAGAGAAAATGAATTGGAGATGAGTCGTTCAGGAAGCTGATAGTCGTTTAATGTTTTTTTGAGAATCATAGTAAATTGTAAAGAAGTACTACATTTGAATCTCATTATTTGCTGAACAAAACACCAAACATTATGTCGCAAACGATATTTGGGGCTAGTATATTTTCAACCTCAGTGTATGTTTGTACGAAACAAGAACAGGAATACAGGGCTGTACATATTCACGTGAGGTGTTTCTGTGATTAAAAACCAATTCAGTATAGCAACATAAATAGACACATGCGCTGGAAGAAATGCAGGATGTGTGGTATTGACTTTGAGCATCGATGGACGCACTTTCTGGACAGGTCACAGGCGCACCGCTAAACAAATCAAGGTCTATTTTCAATTTAGGCGTTTATCTAACATAGCGCTTCTCTGCAACACCAACCCCGAACAAAATCGGTCAAGCTTTACACACTTTTCAAATTACTCTTGAGCAACAAACAAAACATAAATAACTTTTTAAGTGCAACCTTTATAGCTAATATATTGCTCAGACTTATGTTTGTCGCAAGTCACAATACTCGTAGAGGGACAGCGTTTGGAATACCAAAGGATATCAAAAAATCGTAATGCTCAGTTCCTTCAGCTAAAACTTATAGTTAGTATGCTTCTGTCACCATGATGCGTCAGAAAGTAACACAATGGTGTTAGATCAGAAAAGCAAGTATCAGACGTCATGCCTAAAATTTCCATTAAATAAATTAACTTTATTTTGTTTGTCAGGGAGTGTAATATAGATAAGAGAGTAATGTAGTCGATGTTTTAAACTGCTTTTACAGTAAATTACATAAAGTCATATGTAGCAGAAACATTTATAAATTTACGAGTTACGGCTTGAAAATAGCACTTATAGTCATATTATATTGGTGGTGCAAAGTAATGGTTTACATAGCTATCCTCGAAACGCCTTCGATTACCATGCAAAGTAATTTAGTGAACCCTTACAGAAAAACGGCCAAAGTAGAACGTACGGTAAGTACTAACATGTAAACGAACTGGAAGCCTTGTAGACATGTAAAGTATGATAACATGGAGGTACAGTGTAATGTAGAAGGCGAAAGAAAAAATTCCGCAATATTTATCAATGTACTGGTATATTACATGTCACCTCCATATAAGCAAATAGTACGGTGTTGCAGGTAATTGCCTTTTGAATATATGATATTTAATGGTGCACCTTGTATGAGAAAATGTTCGACGAAGTGAGGGGAGAAGCGTATGACATTTATCACAGCCAAGGTCGCCTTACGTTTTGCTATAAAAGAGGAGAAGTTTCTGAAACAAACGCCTCTAGACAGAACGACTGAGAAACATTAATCATTCAATTCTCATTTTACCCTGAGACGTAATGAGCATTTCTAAAAATGTTGCTTTTGCTTTTATATACAGGGCGTTGACAAAGTATCTGGTTACACTACTTATGAGTGATTCTAAGAAGAAAAGTGCATACAAACATTATTTATTTCTTCGCATAAGTCGAGATAGTGCTTTAGGCGTCTTATTTATACCACAAATTGTTATAGCCGCCTAGATCGCCACTGGCGAGAAAGAATTGTAATCGCGAAATATTTCAAAGGTAAGCAGTTATGTTTTTACCCTGCACATTTGCCTTTAAAACTTAAATTTAGAGATTTGTTTTCAACGTACGTGTCCCAGGCAATTCAGTGAACGTATACCAACTTACTTCGAAGGCTGACCGATATTTGACCGATGATGGGTCGGATGCAACGCCGTGCTGGGTTGGCGAGTGAGTGCCGAGGCAAGCAGGGCTTCCACATAGCTGGTGGGTTGTCACGTGCCAAAATCGCGTAACCTTTTTTCTACTATTTTGATCACTTAATGGTAATTTGAATTTCTCTTGATTAATTGTAGAGTGCCCATTCCTGGGCCACCCTTTTCAATGAGTTTCATTTGGTAGAATTCATAGTTTATTGATTGTATAATTTCACACGTATATCTTTCTTTGTCAGTGATTCAGTATTGTGTTGGAAAAAAAATCTCATTCTGTATAAAATTCTATCGAACATATCTGCTTCAAGGTCACCCATTTAACCTTCCTTAATAAAATTAGATGTTTCGTGTGAGTCACCTTCCTCCTGAGATTGTGGTGTGAGCGCTATTTGTTTAACCTTCAGATTCTCGGATATTAGGTGCCGAACACTATTTTGTGGAGTAGTACCCCTTCATATTGTACCTTACGTTTAGTTAGGTAGTTTTTTTGGTTTGGGTGCTACCCCGTCCATTTTCTTAAGGAATTTTAATCTTCAGCGTGAGAAGGCATTGTGGAGAACTACCACACACTCCTCCAGCTTTGTTTGTAGCTGGTTTGCAGCTGATATTGCCGGAACCCACTCCTTCGCCTTGACAAAAGGACCCTATTCACATCAGGGTTGGTTGGTTGGGCCTAGATTGCCAGGGTATCAGATATGTGGTGACTATGAACTAATTGTCTAGACCTGTTTGACTTCGATTCACTTAATTCAATAGTTATACATGTATGTAGCTAACTTTCGCCTAACGGAAGCTAACTTGTGTCGAACATACTCCTTTATGCACTGATGACTGTACTGCGTTGGAAGGTCGACTGACCTGCTAGAAGCCTTTTTTTCGATATTTCAATGAAGCTGATGACTTCCTGTATGTCGGATTTAGATAGATGAAGTTTTACTCTATTAACACCACGTATATATGAAAAAAAAAACTGCATAACGAATTTCAAATTGGACAAAGGGCGGTGATATCCAATAAAAACAGTTCATTTATAACTCTGATTAATTAGTTCGAAACTTTATCCGCAGAATCGAATATCTACTAGCGTTTCCGGGAAAAGTTTTACGTTCAGGCTGTAACTGACTCAATACTTGTAGTTTAGCTTTTAGTACGACATTGACATTGGAATTGATCAAATTATAGAATATAGTGTGTTTCCAAAACGTAGTGTAAAAGCTGATTATTATTTGAATTCTTCTAAGAATAGTGTTTCCTAAGTTTGACCAATTTTTGGTCGAATCATTAGTTAGTTAAAAACCCTGAAGGGTTCCATACGGAATAACGAAGGCAGTCTAACTCCGAAGATTGATCAGGTTATAAGAAAGCATCTCCCTGACCTACCCATGATATATCTGCAACCCCTATCGAAACCGCTGGAAGGCCCCTATGCCTCCTGTCCAACAGTGTTGCCCACGAGTCGATATAAGCTTTGTCAAACAATGGAAAATAAGCAAGTGGATAAGATCCTGTGACGAGGAGATATTTCAGCATTGCAGTCCAGCTGTATCTTTTTTACTAATAAAACATGTCATTTCACGAAAACTGTTTGTGCCTTGTATACTGGAAATGAGAAGGCACTTTGTCCTCGTTTAGGAAATATTCTCTATATCTATTGCTCTATCTTATATACTTTTCGTAAATTTCCGTGTTTTTCTGGCCTTTTATGTTGTTAATAAGTTGTACTTCTGAAATGGGATTTGCATGCACTTCGTCTAAAGGAAAATATCACTATTCAAGCTTTTCTTCTACTAGTAATATCTGTTCTGTGGATATTGGAGACAGATGGATGAAAATGAAAGATAAACATATTCTGCTTGAAAAATGTGCTAACAAAATCGCAAAACTTCCGTGATCATAACACTCCTTTGGCACTTATGGCGTGGGAAGTAAAAGAATGGTGGTGAGAGGTCTCAAGGCAGGAATGGCATACGTTGACACATTTCCGGGGAACATATCCCTTTCATCCTGATGTATGGCTGCTCGTTCCACCTTTCCCATGTACGGCCACTGTATATCCTATCTGTGTGTCGCTTTTACCTGGCCTTCTACCAAATGTATCCCAGGATGCATCAAGTCTATTTGCAAAAAAATCACGTCCACTCCAATTGCTATGTTAGAGTGATTCTAAAGAAAAACCAGCTTTACAGGCATCTCTTTGGATGTTGTAGGCTGTATATTTGAATTTATTAATGTTTTTACTTTTGTATCATTAAGACGTCACATTTTATAAAATTTGACCCTCACCATTGAGGTCTCGAAAACTGTAAGAGATACGTGATCGCTTAGTTGCGTAGGTATTCAGGTAATCAACTAAATGCCACTTGAAAGGTATCGAATTTGAAAGTACCTCCGGAGAGAGGCGCAAAAAACTGGATTTTCCCAAAATCGTTTTATTTTCTCCTTTACTTGTCGTTTTACAATAAATTGAAGATCAACATTACCATATTTCTTCCTCTACACGATGGAATAATTAGAATCTCAATACGACGTGTCGTCTCTTGCCCTCCAGCATCAACTTTATGTTCTTTTAAGGACGCCATATTAGATTTTTCCACAGATAAATGGGGATTTTAATTCTGATTCCAAAAATGTATGATATATCATACACTCGCACCTTAATTATTCGAGAAAAACAGAACTTCCTAAGTAGGCTTTGATTTTACTTGTTTCGTATACCAGACCAGACCTCATATTGAGCATAGCAACAGAGTTTGGCTGACTGAGAAGAACAGAAATAAATCTAGCAGTCAACAATCTATAGAGAAAAATCAGACTTTGCCTACAAAATAACGGACAACATTTTGGGCATCTGCTATGATTTACCTCTGCTTATGAATGATTATCATTGTTAATACCATCAACAAAATTTTCATTTTGTGTTCAGGTTTCACCATACCTCATAAGTTTCATCCAACAAGTTCATAGCAAACTAAGGGAACATCACTGAATTTAGGACCGACAAGTCTACTCAAATTTACAAAATTCCAATATAGTGTCCATATAAAAAAAACAAAGTTGATGAAATCGAAAGGAAAAATGTCGAATTGAAAATTTGGCTTCGCCATCTTGTAGATGAGAATAAGTAACACTGACATCATGTAATTTATTTTGAAATATCAGCTAAAATGAAGTGAGGGAAAAATAAAAGTGATTTTGAGATGAATCTAGTATGCGACACAGATGACAATCTGATAATTTCAACGCCTAGGTACCTAGGGAGTTCTGTAACTCTGAAATAACTAATATTTGGCAATGTCGGCATATGACGCATTATACATTTTTAGAATCAGAATTAAAAGCTATATTCAAGTGTGCAAAAATACAATATGTCGTTAAGAAAAAATAAGGTTGATGCTGGAGGACAATAGATATAACGTCATATTAAAATTCTAATTATGTCATCTTGTAGAGGGGAGAAAATGTTATTGTCGAGTCTATTTCGAAATCCCACTACAAATAAAGTCAGGAAAAAGATTCAAACGAAATTCGATATTTTACCGTCTCTCTCTGGAGGTACTTTGAATTTCTAAGCGACATTTTGTTTATTACCTAAATAAGCAACTCTGCCTCAGTTCAAACGACGTCGCACTGATCTCAAAGTTTGGTCAAACTTCTGTTGTCTGAATGTATAGTTGGTTTCGTTGTTTTAATTTTTCAATCGGTTCCTTTGAAGCAAAGATGACATTAAAAATAGATATCATCAAAACGACACTACAGGCGTTTTTTGAGTTATTGATTACAGTTAGTATTAGAAGCTTTCAGAAGAACTCGACACTTTGAGTTTGCTTAAGCGAAAGAAGCATTATGCGATATTTTTTGAATATTTTATGTCTTTTACAATTGATTAACGAATCCTACCTAGTCAAGTACCTCAGACAATGCTCTTACACCACGAAATTATGTTTCCAACTCTGTATCTGTTAGATTTGAAAACATCATAGATGATGTCTCTGTATGTTTCTGAAGTACCTCAACAATTAAACAATTACACTAGTAATAAAAAGTTCAAGGTAGTTGGAAATTTTTGATTCCCATAAACTTAATTTTTAAGTGTCTTATGCATTAAATTTCGAGAACAAGATATGTTTCTTGAGTGCTGCATGACACTTACATCTCCAGAAACCATGTCAGTAATATTCGTCGCTGTGTCTGTGTGTTTACCGGTCTGATTTTCTGCCTTCTAGTCTTTGGCCTCTTATAGTTTGAAAAGTACCTGTCGGATTTTTACACAATACCAAGGAAGGAAGAGCGTTGTATGATTGGAAAATCGATCCAGTGACGGCGGATTAGTGGGGAAGAAACAAAAAAAAGGAAAATTGTTTAAGCTCATTGTTTGACATTTCAGGGACTACACCACAGCCTTGCAGACTCTTTTTGGAGTAAAAAAATTGGGAGTGGGGATTGTCAGGCATAAAGGTTTCTGCTGTTAACATATTTAAATGCTTGTATGCTCGATAGTTCATCGCGCACAGAGATTTCCCTGTATATTTGCCTTTAAGACCCAGAATGACCTAGAAATATTGTTAGGTACCCTCATGGAGCGCAATGAAAGTAGCCTTTAAACCTGTCGTGAGCTAGCCGTTACCGCTAGCGGCTTACTCATCACAACTCTGACCGCAACGTCGTAGTAGCGGAAATGAAGGAGATACTCCTGGTACGCAACATTGTCAAACGAGTGGGAACTAAGGAATAATTCATAGTTCTATATGTATGAAGAGGGGCTATTTTCTGCCGCATGAGCTGAAGACATCGTTACGTGGCAGGTTCAATCCAGTTGACGTCATTCTTTTTAAGCTACTGGGCACACTTAGGCATAGTAAGCATTTGATGCTCAATCAGTAACTATTAATTTATTTATTTTACCAAAAATTACCTTGCTCAGGAATGTACCACACTATCGCCCAAACCAGCACATATTCCCGACGACGCACTGTACACAAATCCCTGATTACACGTCAAGCGTGATCCGCTCGGATACGTGAACCAGAAGAGAGTTTTCCGGTGGCGGTGCGATGCGCTCCCTTTTCCACAGTAGGTCCGCTTTTCCGGCGCTTTCCCGACGTCCTGTGGCGTCGTCAGCGTCCCGGCGGGTCCCGGCGCGTCCGCGTCGCAACTGGAACCGTACACGCGCCGGATGAGGGATTTATAGGAAAAACTGGCGAGCTAGGATGCGCGCAAATGGAGTTTCTTTCAGTCACGGAAAGTTTAATATCATGCGGATGAGTTGCAAGATCACGTGCATCAGCATAAGACAGCATTGTGAGTAAGGTCTGTAAATCATCTTGAAGTTGCTTGCATTAGATGGATGTTATTTCCAGACTGCCCTATAAAGTGAGATCTTGAAAAATTTTCATCTAGCTTCAATATGGAGAGACAACTAGAAATTACTCATTTGAATATGTCTGTCGTATTTCATATCTTAAAATAGCTAGAGCATCGTGATTAGCTTGTCTTCGCACACGAAACTAAGAATTGGTCATTTCAATATGTCTATCATTTTCCGTAGCTAAGAATAACCAAGGCATCGTGATTATACTGTCTTGACACAGCAAGTGTACATCTATGCTGCTATAAATTGAACCTCTCACATTTTTCCATCACTTTTTAGGAACAAAAATGTATATAGAAGTTGCAGGGTCTAATGAAAATCTTTTTAGGCAATATTTTCAATACCGAGAAGTTCTTCCGAATAATATGTATTTTTTGAATGGTTTATATGCATATTTTTTGTGAAGCTGATTCTCGTTTATGTTCTGATTCTGAATAGGTATATTGTTACACTTATTACCATTACATGAGTCAAACAATGTATGTGTTATTCAATCACATATATCCGACTCTATGCCAGATTGTACATAAACAAGACATGCTCCATTTGGCAAGCATGAGCTGAGCGGTTTAATCGCGGTTTTCAAGAGATATGGCTTACTCTGGCAGCGCGTATCTGAGCGAGTTTGAGTACACTCGTTGACGCAGACCATCTGTTATGCGAAGATACGAGTATTAATTTTATCATTGATTCAGTTCAAGTTATTACAAACCACGAAGCTTAGATGAAATCTCACGTATTGTTTTTTATTGTATGTGGATAATTGCATTTTTAGTATTATTTTTTTATACCTGAACCATTTAATAAATATTTGTAATATTATATTTATAATAAATATTTCTTCAATATCTTTTAGATATTTTAAATATAATATTTCCTTTATAATATTCATTAAATATTTAGTTTTCAATCAATGGAAAAATATTAAATCTCCAATATTTAGAAGATATAAATATTTTCGGCTACGGCGCATGTGCGTGTAACCTCGATCGACCAATAGGATAATAGCAAGCTGTTTGGCGGCATCCATTTTACCTGTGACTTTCACTATGATAGCGTGCTTCCTATGTACCTCCAAGTGGTTCATAATTTGAGTGTATTTTTGTGGAAAAAGGAAAAGGGTAAGTTTTTCGATAATTACATAGCATAATTTAACTGACTAGTAAACATTATTGTGCCAGCTGAGTATAAAGGTATTCACAAGACCATAAATAACTAGCCTTAAAATGTATGTTATTTGGTATTGATGGATTTATCTGAGAATGGATACGAAAATTATGTTCATAACGTCCCAATGAAAAGACATATAATCGCAACTTGATCGAGATACGTCAAAAATGCTTTTTTAAAATATCTCAGTTATTATTTTGTCGTAGTACGTTCAAAAATTTTAACAATTGAAAATAATTATACTTTTGTAACTTGAATTATAATATAAAATCACAAAATAGTTATGACTTAGTTAGCTCCCTTACTAAAAAAGTCAAATTTCAACAGACTCAATAAGTCGTCTATTTTCAAAAACCTTTTCTTCAAAAGTTAGTCTAATTGTCAAGTTGTGCCCAAGGACATTTTTCATCAAGATATCTAAAATAACATACCAAATGTTCTTAAAAATAAACCAAACCTCAAACTATCATAGACAGAAAATGTGGGGTCCTTTCAGGTGCATTATAGGGCTGCTTTTCAGTGACCCAGTTGAGCTACTCGGAGTAACTCACCATGCTCAGCACCAGTATTGTTCTACTGCATTTTATATTCCCATAAATACACTGGAAAGTATTCAATAATACTTCACGATTAGTTTTTTTTTCAGAGGAGTGGACTTGCAAGATGCAGAAGAGGCTTAGAATGTTTTTTTAATAATATTTTTCTAGCAAATTAAACCATTATATTATCTAGAATGAATTTTCTTTATAAACTAAATTTTATATAAGCATTCCTACAGGTTTTGCTAAAATAACCAATGAAAAATTTTCTATATACACTGAAAATATGTATCGGATCAATGCTTGAAAATCCATACATATTTACGAAAAATATTAGATATTTCATCAAAATATAAAATTGATATTTAAAAATCTTTCCTCTTTTCTAAATATCTAGAAAAAATATCGCAAAAATATAAGAATTATATATACTACAAATACCTATAATGAATATTTTATAGATATATAAAAAATATATTTATTAAATATTAAAAAATCTGTCGCAACAAATATTTAACAAACATGTTTTATAAAGATTTAATAAATAGTTAATGCTATCGGGGCAGTAACCAAATAATCACAAAAAAGCACGTACGTTAGTAGGAGATGGCCTACCACCTACATTGTTTCGGCTTAGTTCAAATGTAAGTGACGAGAGCCCATAATTACCACGCATTGATCTCATCTTATTTTTGATTATTTCTTTTCAAACTCTCGTTTTTTTGTGACTGCTAGCAAATATATAGGGTAAGATTTTGTTGTATTTTAGATCCTCTATAACATCCTAAAAGGAATACGGCAAAGGGCTCGACAATACGTTTATGGAAAAAGTGGTTTCGGTTTAATTTGGCTGACTTTTTCATATGCTATGCGTCTTGGGGTTCTTAACAAATGTCTCTATGGGCACAGACCCGATACGCCATTATTCTGACTTGGACGGCCTATACATTCGATACATTTGTTCAGGATGCTGAGATACATCACATTACAAATTCAGTCATATTAACCGAAACAACCCTTATAGGTAGAATAGATAGCCGAGAACAATCGAAACCCCATTATACTATCTTGGATGGCCTATATCTGGGAATGCAGAAACTTATATAAAAAATTCAGCAGAATTAACCAAAACTACTCCTCCACTTAAAGCAGACATTCGAGTAGGCCCGATGTCGTATTATATTTAGATGGCCTATATCTTGAGACCCGTTGAGTTTTGGGGTTTGTGCACTGTGAGACATTTGTTTAGGATGGATAGATACTGGAGATTGCACAAATCCAGTCAAATTAAACGAAGCCACTCTTCTAGATAGAGCAGATATGAGAATACAACCGACAGTCCAGTATACTGACTTGGACAGCCTGGGGATCCGTTGACTTTTGGGGACTGTGCCATTCAAAGCACTAGTTCAGGGTGCCGAAACATATAATATAAAAAATCCAGCAGTAATAACTGAAACCACTCCTACACATAAAGCAGCAGGACCGATACCCATTATAGCGTCTTGGTCGGCCTATATCTTGGGATCTGTTGAGTTGGGGCCCTGTGCCCATAGAGACATTTGCTAAGGATGCTATGACGCACAACATGAAAAGTTCTGCGAAATCAACACAAACCACTTCCCCCACAGGCATATTGTCGGGTCCTTCCACTATACATAAAAGTGTTTTTGAACATTTTAGTCGTGTGTTCTTCATGCGAGCCTTAATCGGTTACAAACCCTCTTGACGCCTACCAAGAATCCTGAGCTACTTTCCAGTGACCCAGTTTGGTTAGTCAGTGTAACTCAGTAGTGCTCAATACCAAGACCGTTCCACTGCACGTTATATTCCAATGCATTGCTTCTAGAACAGTTCTGGGGCATCTCACATGTTGCAAGCAATATAGTGCTGCAGAAATTCACTTGAAACTGCTTCTGAGGTTTGGCATTTTGATGGATGTTAATTATACAGGTTGTCCTGAAAGTTGAGACGTTCCGTTTCGGGAACAACGGCGTCCGGAATATCAAAGCTAATTTGCGGTGAAATAGCACCGAAGACGTAAAAAATAAACTGAAAAAAATCTCACTATACATCTGGTAACGAGTTTCAAGGAGGACCCTCTCACATGTTTTGTTTGTGAATAGTGCTGATTAATTCAAGAACAAAGGCTTGTTTACTTCTACGTGAATTTGTAACATTTGGGGCTGTCTAGGTCTTCTACTGTAGCCACAGACGTTTTTTGCACGATATAAATCAGCTTAAGCAACTATGTTGGAATCATTGATGACGTTGTGAACGCACTCCCGGAGTATAAACAGGATCTTAAAGACGCCCACAGTAAACTAACATTAAATCGATTACTACATTATTGTTCTAGGAATGTGCAAATTTCTGTTTTTTAAATGCGACTTGTCTATAAACTAGGTTATCCTACACACCTCGCAACACCTCATTCACATAGTATCGCAAAACATCATGCCTATTCACGGAGGAGAAGGGAAAAGAGATACAGGGCAGAACTGGTCCGTTTTTTTTTTTCGGAGCTGCAACATTTCGGTTATCTTAAGGCTTTGACATATGTGTTACTAGGAATACTTACTTATTGCCTGTCCTATGCGCCCTGTGAAAACGAGTCCCAACTTTGAAGACCTTGTATATCTGAGAAACTTTAAACCAATTATTTTCTCAAACCCCTCTACGTACCAATTCAATTAATTTGTGTCAAAGATCAAGATCACCTTGCAATGTGTCCTCATGCAACGTGGGGCACTCGGGGTTAGATGATGCCACTGACATTTTTCTCTCGTCTTTCCACTATCTTGGCGCGCCGGTAAACTGGAGGGCTAGAAATTGGTGAACGTATATAGATAAGCGACGTGTAATATCAGCTTCGCAGTTATTCCGTTATGAGTGTTGGAAAAATTAAGCACTCTAGTGATTCCAGAAAAAACACCTGGCGTCCTGGGAGTGATAATAATAAACTAGTTGCACACTGCACTTAAAATTAAACTTTATTCCAAAAATAACAAAAAATATATAAAAGTATAAATTTAATAAGACAACCAGTAGGAGATGGGCAAGGTGCATCAAAAAACAAATGAAAATGAACTCCTGCAGCTATAGTAAAAAATAGCTAAACCGCAGACCATCATCATTTGTTAATCAAATACTCCTTTCTTTGTTGTTCCAGCATACTCTCCAAATAAATGCATTTCTCTTGTAAGGCCTTATGTTCGGTTTGTAGCTCGTTTAATATCTCGTCTTTTCTCGCTACTGAAACTTTTACCCTGAAAATGAAAACGAACGGTAACACCGATTTCAAAGGAGGGAATTCCTATCCATTAGTTTTATTAAAGCTATGTTCTTGCCTAGAATAAAGCTGCTGAAGCTCTTTGTCCCTGGAACTTTTTAGTTGAGCAATTTCTTTTTCTAATGCGTCCATTTCTTCCTTCATTTCCAGCCTTACCACTTCCTTCAGGTCGTTTCGTTCGGTGGCAAGTTTCTCGGAAGTCTGAAACAAAACAAATAATTTTTAGAGGAAGTATCAATAAAAAGGCGCGACAAAGTTTAGTGACATTGTTCCAGGATGCTCGGCACAATATATGCAAGCAGACGCAGAAAACGCAGAAAATTAGAGTTTCCCTATTTTTATGTGAAACTTCTACAGAATTTGCCGTGGAGCATCTTCAGAATCTAATCTTGCTCACATCCTCTGTTAGCACCAAATGGATTAATCTTTCATTGTGCGTCTACTGTCCCCAGATCAACCACATGGAAGGCGCTTGCAGTCGATCCTTCAGAATATTCCAGACATAATCCGTTGATCAATGATAGCGTTCATGATTCGCAATATTCAAATAAACGTCGGAACCACTTATTTATTTATTTATTTACTCATGTTTGGGGTGCAACAGAATGTGAATTCCAAAGAATTGATCGGCAATTCGTATGCCTTCATCAGCACGCATCGTGATTGAATCGCTATTTCAAAAACCGCCCACGCCATATTTTTCTAAAATGATTTTTTTTGTTGTTGGAAATGAATAGTGGTAGATGCGCATTCTTTTTGTCAACACAGATATCCTGGGCGATCTGTATTTATTGTTGTACCTGTTTAGTTATCTGTTGCTGAGGGAAAGAAAGAATTTAATTTGCTGTCAGTTACCTTTGTGACAATCTTAGGATAGTGAAAACTAATTTATTGATTCAGATTCGAAAATGGTTTACACACTAGTCGAGAGAGTGGAAATGATTCTAATTTATGGTGCCCAAAATCAATGTGCTCGGCAAACTGCCATCACGTTTAACGCCAGACATACAGGGAAGATAACTTCGCATAGGTATGTTTTGGACGTTGTTACTAAATTTACTTAAACTGGATCTGTTGCAAATCGAAAACGTTATCATCGGAGAGTTTTGGATGAAGCCGCTCATGTTGAGGCTTAGGGTAAATTTGGAATAAATCCTATTACTTAATTACGCAAAATTGTTGCTGCCACTGGTATATTATCAGGCTCTGTACACACACACACACAGAGAGACAGTTACTAAACTCCATAAATTTCATCCATTCAAAATAAAAATATTGCAAGAGTTAACTGAAGATGACTTCGATAGGCGAGTTGAATTTTGTCAACAAATGACTGCAGCGATTAATGATAATACCATTCATGTAAAGAATATCTGCTTCATTGATGAATGCAGATTTTATTTGTCTGTATGTTTCAGATTTATTTAGCATTAATGCTACAATGTCCATAATATCCATATTACACAGTATACCACAATATATATTATGTCTTCACTACTATGAATTCTGGTTTTCCATGAGATATTTTTTCAACTTCCCACTGAACATTTTCAAACTGACACACATCTTGATATCATTACTTAATTTATTAAATTCGTACAATCCCTTTTGAAATACTGACTTGTTCGTTATATTGCTACTGCAGTTTTGTAAATGAATGTCTATACTTCCTCTAGTAGAATAATTGTAGCACTCATTGTTCAATACAAACAAAATTTTCAAAGTGATTTGGTAGATGATTTTTCAACTTGAATATGAAAGTGAAATCCAAGTAGGCCTTGAAATTCTTCATATTTAACCATTGTAGTTCTTTCAGCATACAATTTATCCTAGTATATTTACTTTTATTTAAGATGATTCTCATAGCTTTATTTTGTAATATTTGTAATTTTAAAAATACAATTTCATTTGCAGTGAACAAAATAGTCGAACAATATAACAAATGAGGAACAATGATAGTGCGAAATTGCGAAATTCTATAAATGTAATTTATTTTCTTGGATATTTTTGAAATAATATACTCATAGAGCCCTTTAAATTTTAATCTACTGTCTACGTATATGCCCAACTATTTAAATGGTTCGATTGACACATCTTTTTCATGATGATTGTAAGATTTATCGTATTCTGATCTAAAGTTTTTCCTATTAGAATATATTTTGTTTTGTTTGTGTTTAGTTTAAGTTTATTTACACTTTACAATTTATTCAATGTCTTTATTTGATATATATATATATATATATATATAGGTGAAAAATTAAAGCTCCCGCCTTTTGTTGGGTACTTCGACAAAATTTAAGCAAAGAGGACTCTTTATACTTTTTTTAATTCTCTCTAGCTTTCAATGGACTTTGCCATCATCATCAGGAGCTGCAATTACAATGATAATAGTAGCAACAAAAGTGTAAAATGAATTTAAATTGACTCAACTTACAGTAGTATGTGAGGATGTTGCTAATTGTTGTTTACGTATAGGATGAGGGAAACGTCCAGTAACATGGTGAGAGCTGGATAGATGGTACAATGGTCAAAATTATATAAAATATGACAAGACAAGTTAAAAACAGATTAAAAATTATTTAAAAAACATTAGAGCATTACATCGTGAAGCCACTTGATGATTGCACAAAATGGTGGTCATGGAATAATGAGTAAGATGAACCTTTTGACAGATTGCCGAAGGTTATCAGTGTCTGTGTAGCATGATGAAACGAATTATTTTGTGGGCGTGTGCTACGTTGCCAAATCACTTCAGATGATGTGATTTTCAGAATGTTATGTAAGAAATTGTTAAACCGACCAGAGGCAGTTAAATAAACTATATTTTAGTTAATGGGAAATTTGAATTAACAATTATTAATAAATCGTGAGAAGAGAATTATTAGATTTTGAGTGGAATGAAATTTGTTGGTGGAATCGGCCAAAACACAGATTATATTTATTGAAGTGATTTGGCAACGTTTGACACACGCCCACAATTCGTTCCATCTTTCAACACAGACATTGACAACCTTCGGCCTTCTGTCAAAGGTTCATCTTACTCATTATTCCATGACCACCATTTTGTGCAATCATCAAGTGGCTTCACGATGTAATGCTCTAATGTTTTTTAAGTAATTTTTAATCTGTTTTCAACTTGTCTTGTCATATTTTATATAATTTTGACCATTGTACCATCTATCCAGCTCTCACCATGTTACTGGACGTTTCCCTCATCCTATACGTAAACAACAATTAGCAACATCCTCACATACTACTGTAAGTTGAGTCAATTTAAATTCATTTTACACTTTTGTTGCTACTGTTATCATTGTAATTGCAGCTCCTGATGATGATGGCAAAGTCCATTGAAAGCTAGAGAGAATTAAAAAAAGTATAAAGAGTCCTCTTTGTTTAAATTTTGTCGAAGTACCCAACAAAAGGCGGAAGCTTTAATTTTTCACCTAACTGGTCTAGACGACAATGACCACGTCTCAAATTATATATATATGTATATATATATATATTATTGAAACGGATTTGTTAATGAGCATAGCTGCAGGTATTGGAGCACTGAAAATCCGCACGCTTTTGTAGAAGGGCCCCAGAAAAATTAATGTATGGGCAGGCATTTTAGGAAACAAAGCAATTAGGATATTGTTCATTAATGGAAATTTGAATGGAGACATTTATTTGAATATGTGGGGAAATACCAAATCGAAGAGGATGGAAACACTATATTTGATGAGGCTGAAATATACGAGTATTGCCAGCAGGACGGTGGTCCTCCTCGCTATGTTCTTCCGGTTCGGCAATGACTAGACGACGAGTTTCCAGCTAAATGGACAAGGCGAAGAGGGCATATGGAATGGCCTGCTGGATCTCCCGATTTGATACCATTAGACTTTTTTCTATGTGGCCATTTGAAATCTATAGTGTTTACTCCCAACTTGGAAGTTTGGATCAACTTCGTCATGGTAATACGAGCCCCTTCCCACTTCAGTTGGCCCAACTATTGAAATCTTAGTTTTTTTCTTATCAAACACAAATAATAAAAATGTAGCAGGGTATTATAGGTTTAAGTAAAGGTTTAAAATATTAACAATGAATATTTTGATAATATATAGTGGAAAACACCAACTTTATCACTCTTAATCAAATTTGCAGCATAGAAATAACACATGTTGCAATTACAACATATCAACCTATTTTCATTTCAATGCAAAATAAGTCTATAACGCATAGGTGGCTGTGAAAAATAAAAGCCATGACATCTGTTCTTATTAATCACAGCTCTCAGAATACGTTTAAAATAGTTTTGGGTAGTTAAGGTTTTCAAAATGGGTATATTGTTAAAGGTTATTAGTGAGAAAATTGGGTTACTGATAATCAAATTTTTTTATTCTGGAAAATCAAACTCAGAAATTGCAACTTTGTTAGACTTATCGCGGTACAGTATGAGAAATATTGTTAGCAGATATAACGTAACTGGTTCAGTTAATATTAAGCCACGATATGTGAAAAAAAGTAATATCATAAATGCCGACCGAAGAGCATTAAGAAGAATAATCGTGAAAAACAGGCGTGCCAATTATTTACAATTAAGTGCTCTGTGGAGTGGCGCTCTTGGAAGGAGAATTTCGAGGTCCACAACTCATAGAGAGGCCCACAAACTGGGATTTAGCACTTGCAAGGTGAGTTTTCTTATAAAAAAAAGTGATGTAAAAACCCTAAAGTTGCACAACTTGTTTATAGGCCAAAGAAAAGCCACTATTAACTTCACTGCAAAAGAAAAATTGGCTTAGATGGGCTAAAGAACATAGACAATGGACACCTCAACAATGGTGTGCTATACAATGGAGTGATGAGGTCCGATTCGAAGTTTGTGTTGGTGACAGTCGCAGTAGAGTTATTCCCAAAAAATGAAGCATTCCATGTTGACTGTCTAAAGAGAAAAGTGAAATTTCCAGCATCCATTATGGTCTGGGGCAGTATGTCATCAAAAGGAGTAGGAAAACCTCATTTTACTGATGGAAATGTGGATACAAACAAATATTTGGCAATTTTAGAAGAATGGCTTTTACCAGTGATGGAAGAATGTTTGACATCCGGCCAAGATTTTGTGTTTCAGCAAGATGGTGCAGCGTGCCATACCTCAAAAAAGGCTATAAAATGGATGGAAGAAAATAATGTACCACTTTTGAAATGGGTTTCTAGCAGTCCAGATCTGTCACCTATTGAAACTTTGTGGCACGAGATGAAAAAGGTTCCTCGACAACATCCTGCTCGTACAATCACCGAACTGAGACAAAAGCTTCAAGAAATATGGGATTTTTTTTACTTCAAATTTTTGCCAAAACTTGGTTAACACTATGCCCCAAAGAATTTCAGCCGTAATAAAAAATAAAGGAGATGATACCAATGGTAATCTTTCAATTGTTGCTTTGTTAACTTCTCGCATTTATTCGCACATTGTTTATTTGTTCAGATGTTCTATTAGTTATAGGTCTAAGTTCTAAGTGATTTCAAATATGTATTTTTTACGACTAGAGTGTATCTAAAATGTGTTTGAGAAAATAAATTGTTTTAGAAGTAAATAGTTTCGTCATGTTTAGTTTATAAAGGCATATTTTGGTACAAATCTTCAATTGGGCCAACTGAAGTGGGAAGGGGTTCGTAGTTGCACTTGGTAGTAAAATACGTACTTGGCTAACCCCCTGGGTATGAAAATGACATTAAGTGTGCCTGTCTACTTACAGCTTTATATTCCTGGAGTTGTGCTTCTAACTGCTTCATATTTGCTTTAAAGCCCATTATTGTTTCCTCGCATTCCAGCAGCTTAGTTTTTGCTTCGCAATACCTTCTTTTTATCTCAGAGTCTTCTATTTCCAAGTCCTTGATTTCCTTTTCGTATTTTTCCTTTAGTCTCCTGCAATATATAGAAAAATATTAATCCCCTCGGAATCTCCAAGGCTTGATAACATTTGAAACAGGTAGTGACCAAGTGATTCTTCCTGTTTCTGGTTGCTCGGCGGTTTCTTTATACATGTGACAAGGAGTATACCATGAGTATTTACGGACCATGAGTTGGACTGCAATTTCTATCTGGTACGTTATGGTTGTAGTAATGCTGCTTGGAAAAGCTACCTTGTACCTTGTACACTACCCACCATAATTGTGACATGTATGTTGTGCATTGTCGAGTAAGAGGCCATAAGAGCTGTCATCTGACCAGAAAATGCCTTCAAAGTCGGATATTTCATTGTGAATAAGACAAGTGTCATATACCTATCAACCCGGCAATATCTATCGATCAAATAATTTCCTTGTGCAGCCGATAGTTCCACTATGTAAACGTTTTGCAAGACAGCGCTCAGAGTATCGGAAAAACACTTACTTGATCCTATTTTCCGTAGATTGTTCCGACTGCAATTTATTTTCAGCAGCTTCATTTTCTAGTCGCTCTATAACAGCCTCGATCTCCCTATCTCTTTCTTTTCGACATTGCTCCCTTATAGCTGCCTCTTTTCCCGCCAACACTTGTACTTGCTGTTTCTTGAAATTAGTCTGCCACGCTTCGTACTCTAACTGTGAGGACTCCTTCAGAAGTTTTAATTCATTGGAATGCCTCCTCATTATGACCTGTGAATAATTTATAAAGTAATTGAGCACTTGGGCCGCTACTTGATTGAATATACAATTTTGTTAAGAAAATATCGTAGAATATATTCATTCATTTGGAGCGATTAGTAGTTCGTAGTGTTATGTACAATCCAAGTATTATCTACCTGTAGTCTGTCGTCGAACTCTTCTTGTGCCTGTTTGATAGCTCTATCCCTTTCGGCTATAGCGGCAGCTTCTCTTACTTCACATTCCTTTACTCTACTAGCATGGTCAGCTAGTAGTCTTCTTCTTTGCTCTTGGTAACCTTTTTCTTCTGATTCTACCAACTTTTCATATCTAAAAATGTTGTGTAAAGTTGTTCAATCAAAAAATAGATCACACAAAGTACAACGATAATGGTATCCAAGAAACAATTTTCCTGTTCACCTTTGCCTCATCAGTTCTCTCTCATGCGCCAAAGCCTTTTCTCTTTCTTCTGTGAGTTGTTCTCTCAAGGATTCACAATGTTGCTGCATTTTCCTAGCAGATTTTAATTCCAAATCTTCAATTTCTCTTTTGTGGGCTGCTCTTAGATCTGCCATTTCTTGCTGGTGACGCCTTTCCATATTTGCCATCTCAGGCTCGATACTTTTTACTGTCAATTCCTATCAATAGTACGTATTTGATATCGTTTAATATAACAAGAGCTATTCAAGGGCAGCTGTAAACATCTTGACACTTGTTGCGAGACATAACAGAAATACTGCTCTGAAGTCACTACTCATGAAACGGGAGGTAAACCCATGCACCAAGCCTCCAAAAAATAAAGATAAAAAACCCTATTTGACTTTGAAGGTACCTTAACAAGGAAAGACAATCTACAAGGCTTCCTAACTTACACAACTATCAACTTCAGGCATAAAAGGTAATGTGAGGTGCAGTATTGAACGAAGACGATGGCTTTATGGACGGCTTTTTGCAGAAGGGAACCAACCCACTCAATATGAAAAATCTAGATTTTAGGAAAATAAACTATTACAAGCAATACCATTTACTGTAAAAAAGATCCATACATATATAAAGCTTTTAGTATTCCATTAATTAAAATCGTGTTTCGTCTGCAATGAATTTGTTATCATTGTCAAAAATTTAAAGCCTTATTGCACAATAATTGCTCTTCTGGGTTGACTTCTTTCTGCAAAAGGTCGTTCATATTACCTTTATCTTCTGTGTCTTGCTATCAATCCATTTCTCCCTTCTCAATTTTTCACCAGCCGTACACATGTCTTTCATTTTCTTCATCTCAACTTGATGCCTGTGTTCGAGTGCTCTAGTGTTAGTATTATATCTATCTTCCAAAACTTTCATTTCTTGAATCAGTCCCTCACACTGCTGATTTAGCGATCTTTTATCTGCAATCAGCTGATCTATGAATTTTTGGTGACGCTTGATGATACCATCGTATTCATCTTTCTGTTGCTTCAGTTTTTGTTTTACTAACTCGTCTGTTTCCTTATGCTGTTTCATTATTTGTTCTCTTAAATTTGATAGTTCTTGCTGGAGTAAAGATATGGAGCTAGATTTATCTTTCAGTCTTAGACTAAGATCGATGACTTGACTAGACAATTCTTCAGGTGAAAGAACTCGTAAGTCATCCATTCTGGAATGTATAATCTGTTAATGCCAATCAGTCAGATGCTTTGGGTGAAATAAATTAAGAATGAAATGCCTATCCAAAACCGTTCCGACATATCAAAATCAAAAAGAATCAAAAACCAGTCATGAATGAAGACACTGGACTGTTCTAGCCAGTCTAAAGTGCCTGGCCGCATACTTAATGTAAGGCTCACTGACCACGCTATTCCAGTTGGAGCATGTGTGGAGTCCGTTCTATGGAAATGAAACACATTAGAACAGGAAAACATGTCATTTGGAATGACTGCAAATCTTGACCGTCAACAATATTATTTAAGTGGTGTCTCCTACAGAGGCACTTATACTGTCATTCAGTAAATCCATATTCGCTTACACTTGCTCCAAATGACTAAACGTATACTGTACTAACCATTGTTGAAAAGCTAGAAACAACAATGCAGTTGGTTATATCGACAGAGATGGAAATCAAACAGATCCTGTTCAGCCTTTTGACGCATTTGCAATTAATTATTTTCTACGAGCAGCGGTACTCACTTTGGTATTGTGTCTAACTTTATAGATGATTCCAATACCTTCGTTACAAGCTCTGCGCTCTGCTTGGCCGAATTCAGGCTGTTTGTACAGCTTTTGTCTACTTCATCCAGGAACGATAGAAGTTCACTAAAATGAAATTCCGTAAGGAAAATAATGCAGTTTCGATAGAGATTTATGGCTAATCACCATAGAGGCTACGTAAACGTTAGCGTTAAGAGCCCATCAGGGGGTTTATCATTAATACCTGTAGTTAGATTCGGAACTGCCTCTGCAACTTAGGTTATAATGATTTTGTGTACATTTGTTATTGCTTTGTGAGAACGATACGTATCTGTCTCTGTTTGGTTTTAGCAAATTCTGATCTTCTATGTACACACTTTTTTGTTCTATCCTTGCTGTGCTCTTGTGATCAGTGCTGTAGTCAGTATCAGCTTTTGGTGCAAGATCATGCGACGGTTGCTTGTTTAAGCTTATATCCACCATTTTCTTTACCGACTCCATTTGCTTTTCTGTAAAATAAAATATCTGTTATTTACCTCCTTAATAAGAAATATTCATAAAAAATCACAAATATTGCTTAATCACTTACGTGACTTCTTGTCCTCGTCCTCCAATGCTTCTAGAATAGAGACAATGTCTTCAAGACTTTCACTTTGACTGATCTTATCCTCCGCACTACTGCTTCTAGCAATTTCATTTCCATTTGTATCTATTTCTTCCAGGTTAGTTAACAAATCCAAATAGTTTGCCTTCTTCTTAACATTCGTTACTTGCCCAGCACTTTTAGATCGTTCGCTCATCCACGATTCAATCTCTTTCTCATCAGGCAATTGAAAATCCCTAGATCCTTTGATAGGCTTAGCCTCGAACTTTGGTTTCTGCTTCATCGTCTTTGTAAACAAGGGTTTTTGAAGTTTCTTATCCTGTAGTTTCTTATTCTTATCAAGAAAGTTACTATCTCTCTGCTCTTTGTACTGATAACTATCCTTTTTACTCTCTTGCTTTTTCAATATATTCCCAGCCCCTGCAGCAACTAAAGATACAAAACATTAGCTATTCTTTAGAGCTAAATAAGAATTTTTAGGCTTCTGTCAGCATTACCAAGCAAAATCACAATATTAATATACATACAGCATGGACGGCTGCGGCACTTATTAAGCTTAAATTCAAAATCTAGTAAGATGCTGTAGCGAATTCTGAATGATTCATGTGATACAATATGCATCAAGGAGACAACTAGAACTTGTGATTAAATTCACTTTGACCTTGCTTACAGGAGCTAAATGAACAGGTAAACAATATATTTTATTATTGATGATTACTTAGCGTTGGCTGGCAAAGGTGGAAATAGAAGACTATAATCAAGATTTAAACACAGTATTGCCAATAACAAGTACAAAGTTGCTGGAATGGACACTGAAAACTTCTGTCAGAGTGCTCCTAGAAAGAGGGGCGGACAAATACAGAAGATACAAAATATGTCTAATGCTACGCTAGTTATCCGTACCTGGATTAGATTCAGTACCAAACAACTTATCCAAATCGATTTCTGAAATATCTGGTATATCTTCTTCCTTACCCCATGGGGAGATGAACTTATCAACAATTTTAGTATTGTCTGTAAAATTACTACTGACTTCATTCAATCCATGCTCCTTTTTCAGCCGTTCCAGGTAAAGGTCAGTTTCACTTTCCTTCTTTATCACATTTTCCTCTTCCAACCAGGTTTGCACTGACAGGAAACTACAGTCGCGGTTACTTTGCATCAAGTCAACTGATTGACTCTCACTGTGGTACAAACTTATGGTCTTGGATCCTTCATTCTCACTTCTGGTAGGTGACCTCCCAATGTACTTATCATCACTTTCGCCGGATATCGAGTTGTATGAGCTTCTACCGGAGTCATACTTGACAGTTAAATATGCGGTGACAGCGTCCACGTGGTTAGGTTCACCTTCAGGCCTTTTGATGATAGATTTGGATGTGTCTGTCCGTTTTGGCAAGGGCGGTTTGGAAGCCAGTCCTGGAAGGAGGTTTGTGGTCGCATCAGTGTCTTTGATCTCGTCGGAACCTGGAATTCGACGCATAACGTGAGTGAGCCTCGTCGAACCATATTTGAACATATATGACATATATGTTATCTATTTCTTAGGATGATTTGGAATGATTTTGAGTGGAACCGCAATAGTTCTGCCGAAAAAACAAAATAAGGGCCGTTTGAGTAGAAAAACTGCATGGCAACTCTCGGCTGCCATGCATTTCGCCGCGGCACCATGTCAACTGCTACAGGTAATCGACTTTTCGGTCAACTCGTAACGTAATTGTGCGCAGGAAATTCAGGTTGCCATCATGCTTAAAAGAATTGTCCTTTTGCTTTTTCGGTAGACCTTTTGTGGACTAAAAATCAACCCGACCTATATTACGAAACAGATATCAACTTATGACCAAACTTTATCACAGCATGTAACTCAAATCCTATTCATTCATAACTACTTTTCCAGTATCGACTTTTAGGCTCCGCAAGAAATTTTTTATAGTAGGAACCTGCGACTATTCTTTGTGCCATATTTATTTATGACTGAAGCGAATGTTTCAACATATATAATTCTGCAAAATCTTACCACTGTGTTCTATTGTAATTATAGGCAGCACATTCTTTTTCGGTGTTTGTCTCTCGGATGATAGAGAACCACGTTCTTCACAGTTGCTTTCCTTGCTCAGCTTGCTCTGGGTACTCCTCCCAGTATAGTCGTTTTCGCTATTTTCTACAGAGCTTAATGGCTTGAACCCACCCCAAGGGCTCATCGGCTCTTGTAGCATATGTTTAAGTATAAATGCAGAAGGTAGAATTTCATCTGGAATTGAACCATTACATTCAGCAAACTAGTGAAATGGAAGAGAGCATAACGCATCCTACGCTATTACCGCATTTTTAAGTTAACAGGGAGACTGAGAGAAAGAGAGGTCCGCATACACTCACACAAAGCGTGGCGTACAGTGCGCTACTTAAATGAAATCTGCACAGGCATAGAAATTAGGGTACATATTTTGTTGATACACGAGCTTTAATATTATCAAGGATTTTTATCAGAGGTTCTCAGAGAATTAGAAGAAAACTTGAATCAGGCTGAGTGATATGAGGCACTGCAGCTCATAAGTGAACTACGCGAAATAGTGATTAGTGGAAAATGGAGTTGATCCTGATCTGCCTTCTTATACCTTCTATGCTGTCCAAGCTGCTTTTAAAGTAATCTTTCGAAAAATATTTAGACTTATTTGGTACATAGTCTGCCGAATATGGTCTCACGTCTCTTCGAAATTCCTGATCTCTGGCACCTTCCTAAAAAAAGAATCGCACTGAAAACAAGTTGATGAGCAGATGTTATAAATGGTTTTATTTGAATGAACTGCAGTTAGATATACATATACGGCTTTTGGCTGTTAAGTCCAGGCCTACGTTACAATACCATATGCACTAAGTAAACAGAATCACTAATAGTACCATGTAAGTAGCTTTACTTTCCTCTCTCGCACACACACATTAGGTGACAGTACCGCTGTTTTCACTCTCTGAAAATGGCTCTAATACAGAATGTCGACATTATAGTAGTCTACTCAGGCATTACTACATTTTATGTCGAAGATCAACATGAGGTGCTTTCCAGTGCTTTTAAATTGGAAGTTGTATGCACCCGGAGTGTGACGCCCCCGAACTACACTAGCAAATGCGCGAGGGAACGCGACGTTTGTTGATGTTGCTTTGACGTTGACAATTTGTGTCACACTGTCAAACAATGAAAATGTAAACACAAGCACATTTTAGGTTTATTTTCAGAAGCATGGTCAGACTATTCAATTGATGCCTTTTTTAGACATTCAAAATTATTTTCAAAGTGTCTAGCTATAGATGAAGCCAACTACAAGCAAGCAAGTAGACATTCTGACAAACATAAATGTGGAAGACTTATACGCTTACGAGAAGACATTCATGTCGGTGAAAGAAAACTAAAAATTGTATGTCTCTGAGCTCAAATAAACAAATGTCCACGCGTCGGGGCGTATCTTTGTGAGAGTATGTATGAAAGTAATTCCTGTAGCTTTACTATGACCTACCAAAAACCATGAAAGGACTTATAGGTTGTTATATTCGCTGGATTTCCCTGGTAATATGTTTTACCGTCCCAAGGTGATACACATTCGTCAAGTCGTCGGAGTATCTAATGACATGATTCATGTCCTCTTGAGGTATCTTATCACACGGTAGCTGCACTTGATACCGAAGCGCTGCTAGCGTTTGAGATGGATGAGGTAAGGAGGACACTTTTCCTCTCATGATATCCCACACGTATTCAATGGGCAAAAATTCTGCAGATCTGGGAGACCAACGAATGAGGCTGACTGAAGCAAGGTAGTTTATTGAATCTCTAGCAATATAGGGACTGGCATTATCTTATTGGAAGGGAGGGTCTTCAAGCGGTTGGAGAAATGGAGTTCTAATATTCTGGATATGCCGTTACCCCGTCATACCCTTCTAAAGAAATTGCATGTGATTTAGCACCATACATAATGGCGCTTTGCTCCTATAGTGGTATACGTGACGTTCAACTGAAAACATACAATACGGTCCTTTCTCCTCATCGCTCCGTTTCCTAAGCAGACCCCAAACTTAAAACAATGGCAGACCATTCATGACCCTACTTTTCTAGGTTCTGTTTAGGATTCCACGAAAGACATTTCATTTGAATGTCACGTGTCTCATACTAAAGAAGTTATGGTTTGGCGCACCATCAGCAATGGCTCTCGTTTTCATTACCGGCAGTGTGGCAGCACAATCTGCCATTTTTCCTAACGCTTCAGAACCACACTTTCTAGCAAAATAATGATCGTCTCGTATTGTTAGTTATAACGCCCTAATAGTGCTCAAATCAGCCTCCTTCCTTGGTCACCTAGATCTACAGAACTTTCTCCCCTGGGAGTTGATGACATGAAGCATGACCTCTTTAACTCATCCCCCACAAATGCCAGCAGCTTTGGGAAACAGGTATAGTTACCTTAGGATGTAAATTGCCTTCTCGGAATCAAGGTTTGGCGACTGGAGAAATATATAAAGTATCGGGCTGGCCTAACACATTATTAAGTAAATACAAAGATACAGGAAATGTTTTCACTCCAAAATTCACCACTCTCTCTTACTTAGATTCAACTGTATATAAAATTCAATTCAAATTAAATCATTCTTACTGGGTATAACTGAGTATATTTGGATGAAAAACCTCCATGTGGGAAATGGCGTGCACGTGGTTTGGACTGTCGAGTTATTTCACTAGCTTAGGGCATCAAACTATTAAAGTAAAGGGCGCCCATACTACTCAAAACACTTCATTCGCTACCTCTTTATTTGTAAAAAGCCCGACTCACCTTATCGTCTAGCAATATCGGCAGGGCTGAGACTGGTCTCGAGAGACTTCTTGATGTCAGAAACAAACATTTCGAGCTAGCCGTGATGGGCTTACTTATACTCCTGGTTTCTAAATTGATCTGTAAACAAGATTCAATAAGCACAAAGGCCTTGGTTGGAGGTAGAATCTCCCCAATATAGTCCGGTGAACGCGGACAAGGAGTATGTTCGTAAAGCGATATTTGTATGTAGGTATAGTCTTACCGAGTTCTGAGAGTACTTTTAGCTGTTTCCTGTTATGGGGTTGAAGAGACTAAGCAAGAAAAAATATGAGGTTTCATCTAATATAGTTTTGTTAAAGAAAAATCTTGAACCTTTGTATAAGGGATGTGAATAGGGAGACATGACAGCTATGCACTTGCTTTGCGGTTGCCCAACTGACATAAGCTTGAGAGACCACTTTGCGGCAGTTTTGGCCGTATATGGTTTATATCTCATCTACATATTATGCCAATTATATTCGCCAACACCAATATGTAGAAGCTAGACCAAATGGCATGGTATTGAATCATAATAAATAGATCGACAACTCATTATACGATACGAGGGTGCCTTGGTATATTCTTGGAGTTAGTCGTAGTAGAAGTAGTAGAGTGAAGACTAGACAACGTTTCACCCTTTTTTCCAACCCTGTTGTACTATAGGTACTCCACGCGCTTATCTACTGATGCGTTGTAACAAATATGGAATAAAACAGCTTCAATGATATCATGTGTCTTCAGATGTACATAATTGATCTTGCACTCTATATATGATTGTAGAAGATATAGTACCATCTGAATGGACTGACTGCTTTATATCATCAGTAAAACTTCGACACCACCTCACATGAAACATACAACTTACAAAGGCAATACATTTTTTGTAGTTGCTTGCTGTTTAAAAATAGTATGCTCACACATATAAGGCTGAGGACAAAACCGGTCACAAAAAGTTCAGCTTGTTTGATTTTCTCTCGCAAGAATCACGGAACGACCTTAAAATAGGTTAAAACCTAAAAACCTCAAATACTATCTTTTTATACAATATAAATAAGTTTATTTATATATAAATACACTATTCTAAAGCTAACATGCGAAAATAAACTGATGGAGCCCGCAAAAGAAGGAGTTCCTCTGAGTTTGAAAATGAATAAACATGGCAATTTTGTATTATTCCATCAAAATGTAACAACCATAGGGTATATAACGGCAATTTACCAGCACCACTCATATTCTAATGTGCTCACTACAGGTTGGCCACATGCTAATCAATGTGAGGGGGCTAAATATGGCGAAAAAAATATACTATCATTTTTATACCGTACAATACAATTAAGTTTATTCACTTATAAATACTCTATTTTAGAACCAGTATACGTAACTAAACTGAAAGCAACCACAAGAGGATGAGTCCTGAATAAAGACCACAGTTTTACATATTCCACCCAAATGATATTGATTTCACCGAATAGTATATACTGGTAATTTGGCGGCACCACTCGTAATGCTCTAATGTGCTCACTATAAATTTGGAAAGATGCCAACCAATGTGGATAGGCTATCAATTTGGTCGCACTAATAGCAACTTTGATTTCCAATCCAAAAGCTCAGATGAGCCATAATATAAGGGGAAACTTTCTCAATACTTTGGGATGGCCTATGGTCTAACCCTCGAGAATCCCTAGAGAAGACGTAAGGGGCTCCAATGGGGACTAGGTGCCATGATCTTAACTGATCATTTTTGTCCCAAGAAGAAGTGGTTCACATGCCCTGTTTTTATGGAGGGAACCGATAAACGACACTTGAGTTACAGTAAATATTTCATTTTTATATACTGGCAGACCGTATGAATCACTATTCAAAAGATTGATCAATATATGTGTTACCTATGACCAGGTGCGGAAAAATTGCATAGGATATAGTATTTAGTACAATATTCAAATACAAATTATAAGTCTTTTTTCAAAGTCTCTCTTTGTGACCTTTACCATCTGAATCATGAATGCTACTGCTATCATTTTCACGCAATTCGAGGAAATAACAAAACAGCTGAGCCGTAATTTTATCAGCTATCAGTTGTTACTTTGAGTAATACTTGATATCATCTGTGTGATACTTTGTTAAAGAAAGCAAGCTGTTCAATCAGGAAGGCCAGTGGAACAGTTGAGACCTTCAGCATAATTCTGTAGCACTACTGGTTTATGAAAGATAAAATGCTCATTAATACTTACTTTATCTCCACTCAGTCTCAGCTCACCTTTATCATCATTTGTCGCATCTTGGTTGCCACCTCTTGACATTATTTTGTTATATAGATACACAAAAATGACAAAGAACAGTGTAATATGAAGAATATAAATGTCACAAAACAATGTCCGGAATCCGAATAACGTCAAGCGTTTCCGTTTGTTGTGAAAGAACGCACCGACTTAGTTACGCGTGGTCATGGCAACGAAAGGGTGCGATAATGAAACATTATAATAAGGGTGCTGGAGGAATGTGCTTGTCAAGTGATAAGCTTGATATGTTACTTGTATATTAGATATGAGTATGACGGCGGCGAGCACCTACCAAGAGATTTCAAAACTAAATTAATATTTTGCTGGAAATATATGAAGTTGGCGACTTAAGGAGTTATGTGCTCGAATGATGAGAAAATCTTTTAAATACTAGAGCAACATAGTTCTACTACATTCGTATAGGAAACCTACATCACGACAATTTTCATACATTATCAGCAACGAACTCACTTAGTTTTGAATCCTCCCAGCTGGTGCCCGCCACCCTTTGAGTAATAAAAAGTTTATATTCCAGTTAGTTAATATATCTGTTGAATCTGCCGTTTGGATTGGGGCAGGAAAAAATGCAGGAGAAACCTATTTTTTTTGAGAACAGACAGTTACTTACGAAAAATGGACCTTGATCTCGATTTCAAGTTAAAGTCCACTTTGCAAGTATTTTTGGAATGTATTCGGTGGGCCATCAGTTGTTTTCTTAAGTTCGTAATATTTTGCCAGTTGGTAACACTTCCATGCTCAACATATTGCCAAATTGTCATACTTCCGCTGCGAGCAATGGAGCGTTTTACAAATTCAGATCAATTTTTTTTATTTTGCGATGCCTACAACACGTAAAAACAAGTGTGGTCATTGAAGGTAATACTACTTCATTTTGAAAATCTTTTATGAGTAAAAAGTAAAATGGTTTTCAGATTGTCCCATAGTTTGTTTTTGTAAGCTTTACAACTTTTTTAAGGGCAGTCAAACATCTTTGTGGAGAGGTTACAATGTTTTAAAATATCGAAAATTTACTCATATGTTACTGATCGCTTCAAGTTAGGGAATATTCAAAAGCATGATGGAGCTCCAACATTTTGTTTCTTTAGCAAGGCTTTTCTTGATTCAGAAAGATTTTGAAAATCTACTTGCCACAATTTTTTTCCGAATTTTTTTTATTAAACTATCAATCAGACTATTTTAGTGTTTAGAAATTTTCAGCCTCCGAAGACAGTACCGAGCTTTATAGTCAAAGTCCTAAGATATTTTAATACACTTTTTAATTTCATCTTCTTTCAGCTGTTGCAGTTGTAATGTAGAGGATTATAAATAGTACTAGTAGGTTTAGAACGTTTTAACAAAAGTGGCAAACATTGAAAAACTATTTTCAAAGTGCTGTGTTGCAGGAACTTTGCGAAAATTGAGAAGACTAGTCGGTCGGAATGAAGCTCCGTCTGCGACTTGTATACGCAAATTCGTGAAGAAGCCGGAAACGTTGCTTCTGTTGCCCAGAGTGTGCGTGAAAACGCAGGAATGTCAACTCGTCACAGAGCACAACAAGTGGGCATCAGTCGCCCTTCTGTGCGGAGAATATTGCGTAACGGCCTGAGATTATTTCCATACAAGGTACAACCTGTGCAAGAGTTGAAACAAAATGACCATCCACTTCGATATCGTTTCTCGGTGTGGGCTCTAAATCAAGTGTAAGGGGACGTCAATTTTGGTCGCCAAATCATCTTTTCGGATGAAGCCCATTTCCATCTGGGAGGTTACATCAACAAGCAGAACTGCAGGATTTGAGGTTATGAAAATCCACACGTCATAGAAAAACAATGCATCCAAAAAGAGCAACTGTTTGGTGTGGCTTTGAAGTGGTGGGATTATTGGTCGCTACTTTTTGCAAGATGAAGATGGCAGCAGCGTGACGGTAGACCGGGAACGCTATAGATACAAGTTGAGGAGTTTTTTGTGGCCACTATTGGACGACATGCACTTGCACAATCTCTGGTTCCAGCAGGATGACGCAACGTGCCACACCAGCCATGGAACAATCGATCTTTTACACACTAAGTTCGGTCATCGCGTTATCAGCCGTTTTGCAGACGTTCATTGGCCAGCCCGGAGCCGTGACTTGACGCCTATGGATTACTTCCTATGGGGTACTATTAAGGACCATTGTTACACTAACGATCCTCAAACAATCCGTCGAGCTAGCGGGTGCTAAGATTATTTTACCGTCCTGAGGAATAAATAAGGCCGTCGACTGATAAGTAGAACATAACGTCCAAGAAATCTATTGACAAAGTGCACTCTAACGCAGGATCATAGATAAACACCTTTGATTTGATTATTAAAACACTCCCAAACTGCGTCTTTATGCCTTAAGGTGCAAAACATTTTTTGGACAAAGTCAAATAAAACTTAGCTTAGAAATTGGAGGCGGATAAAAAATCTTGAGGTTCATCCTGCTTCATTCCACCTAGCATTCATCTTTTGCCAACTTGTTTTCATGCTAATACTAAAAGTCGATGCTTTGTAGAAGTCGAAAAGTCTGCAAATAAATTTATATCGCATTTTTAAATCCAATATAATATGTCAAAATATGTCCATCAGAAAAATATACACAAGAAAGTATGCTCTTAATTTCATTAAGCCTCTTGGATTAGAGGGAAAGCTGAAATAGCATCAGGCAGGTTGAGCCTGCACTTCCCATGCAACGCTGTCTTCAGTTCATAAAGGATTACGTTCGGTACATTTTGGTCCCTCCGAGCTAGCTACAAGCATGTATAACAAAAAACTAAATCTCTTACTTGAGATCGAGAACGCCGGTGATGCAGTCAAATGCACAAAAAGTCTGGCGCATGAAGGTTGCCATCGTGCCGACCGACTGCGAGTGGCATCTGTAAATATTTCTTCAAGCTTCAAAGGCAAATGTACAAAGCTTTCTCTCATCCTTGGCATAGTAGTTATTTCGTCTGAGAACTATATCAAAATCCGGACGGTAATTTCCAAGTTATAGACGGGCCATCCTGCATTAGCATTAGCGGACATACTGACTGACAGACAGACCAACAGACAGACCGACAGACAGACCGTCAGACTGACCGACAGACAGACATATCGACGGAGATGAGTGATACGTTTTTTTTGTGATGTACATGTAAAACTTTGCAGAAAACAACTCATTTTCGAAATTTTCCCCAATTACAATACTGTCGCCTATATGCGTCGGAAGTAAAATTAGATTGATTATGCATACCTTGTCGAAAAGGAAATTACTGTATGTTAAAAACGTAAATGCCTGGGAAGAACTGAATCAATTCGCACATGAACGAACGCCAAGTTTACTTAGCATTCTAATCGTTTACCATTTGGCAATTTTGGAATCCAGTGGGATCAACCAAACGAACAATGTATGTTATACAGTCTTTATTGAAGTAAAGACAATTTAATCTCAGATTTAGCACGGTATTGCTGGATGACTTCACTTGTCCAATGGATACAGAGTTTCCCAAAATTTCATACGGTCATCAAACATTTTCTGACTCATGGCCAGCTTATCGCCAATTTCGAGGAACTTCTGATCCTTGAGGTCAAATGTTTCCCATTTCACATTATCCAATTCCGGATCTGTTGTCGGTGTGGGGTTGCTGAAATAGTACAAGATAATAACAGGTGGCCTATGCTGCAGTTAATCAAGGGATCAATGTTCACGCACCAATTTATGGTGCTAGAGGTGTCGTAATGAATGATAAATTTTAGTTTTTTAAAGTCTATAAGATCAAATCTGAGTAAATATAATCGCAAAATGTTTTCGACATATCTCACTATGAAAACGCCACAGGCAGATGTCTGACAGACAGAGGATGACGATAATTAGGTCTATTAGACGAAAACCTCGAAATGCAGGACCACTGAATGGATTTTTAAGATTATTAATGGAACGCGCTTAAAATATTCTGTATTATAGAGTTTACCTGCTAATTTTGTACGCTTCCTGATTTTCAACTGTTCTTATTTACGTTTAAATCTTATGTTCCATATATACAATTATTTAGGTTCATAATTTGCAAGTGAGTTAATATAAACCTATGTATCATACGATGTCGTCACAGTGATACAGGCGGTTCGAGCTTATTTCTTTCAATGATAATAATGGCTCAATCTGTATTGGATATGTACAATTATCCCAGACGCTACTCACTATCAAATTTTAACAGTGTATTTCGAGGTTCAACTAAAAACTACACTCGTTTCTTTTTTAGTGCGGTTAATGGACTTTTAGTCAAAAAAGTATTTTTTCCTGCTTGTAAAGAGGTAATTTGAAAGTTTGCAGGTAAAATATTAGCCAAATAACGGATTAAGCAGAAACGTGCAAATACCCCAGGATCGCTCTAGATATAAAGACGGGAAGAACAACAACACTCACAGATTTGATTGAAGCACAGACTGAAATTGCTTGGTATAAAGTCATTTGTCAAGTCCCGCAAGAACACCTATGGCGTGATTAGTTGAAATTCGAAATACCCGGTTGAAATTTGATAGTCCGTTGGTAATTCACCTGGATATAGCCAATACCAAATAAGTAGCGCAATGCCTACCGTCAGTTCAAAGATTTTGTTTCAAAACTAGTAACTGATGAGACATTGAAAATATCAATAGAAGAAATAAACTTGAACACCATTTATCCCAGTAACGAAGCCGTGAAATCTCTAAGTTGACAGAAACTCTCTTCATTGTTATGTGATATATCAGCAGATGTATATTGAGACTAAATAGCTGTAAGCACAAACAAATTTGTATAGATATGAATTAAACATGAAAATTTCAATGCACAGCATCAAAAATCCATTCTGTGGATCCGGGATTCGAGGTTCAAGCCTACCAACACTCCACAAACCATGAAGGAGTACGAAGATTTTCGCGAGGTCTTTTTCACATTGCAACGCAGAAAGGAATAAGGAATATTAGTGGAAACTGACAGAAAATATACTAGTAAGCTGCTGATATTACTTTGGTACGAAGTGGCATATATGTATACCTTGATTTGGCAAAGTTGGCAACCAAAGTGGTGAGCTTGTTCACCATTTTATCTTCCGCTGGATGAATCTTAGACGTAAACTGTGGGAAGGCAAAACCAATGTGGAATAGGTACATCAAGTCGTCATGGTGTGCAGCTCCTGGAAAAGTAAGGTACGAGTTAGTGATGGCAATTTTTTTGTATTTTTACAAATCGTGAGAGATCACAAACACTTCAGTTGCCCACCTACTTATTTATACCCATTTTACAGTCACCAAGTGCAAGAGAAATGTTGATCGCACTAACAGAACACCTGGTTCTTCCTGTCATCTTCCTGGAATTGCCAGGGTCATGAACCAATTGTAGTTTTCATGCAAGTATGTCTACAATTCTGGAGTGTGTTAGTAACTTACAAGTTACCAATGCATGCACTTGAAGGCAGCAGCGGTGCCCGCAGTAGTAGACTCTTCGGTCTCCTGATCAGTCGCCGTGCGCTGTGCGGGTACGAATCCCGTCCCAGGAGAAATTTTTCTCTTGGCTATGGATGTTGTGATTGTCCGTAGGTGGTAGACGGTCTCTTACTGTCGAACGCGGAGTTACCACCCGGTGGATCTCGTAGGCGGAGCCAGAATGTGTGGCATCCCCTCCCCTTTCCCCTGTATCCCCCTATAACCCCACGGCACCCAATGGATGTTTAGGCCTTAAGCCTTCATGGTAGTTGGAATATCAAAAAAAAAGCCTAAAGTGGTTTGTGTGATTACATTGAATTGCTTACAGATATGCGTTTAATTGCCTCCTAAGGGTGAAAAATGAAAACCAAAATGATAAGTTATAAATGTGACAGGTTAAATTTCATTCTCTCAGGTTGGCTAACCTTACTCTTTTGAATCGAGGAAACCGAGCCATCTTGAAACTGCAAGTGCAATTGCAGACAGACAATGCCGTCTCGCAAGCAATGGTCTTGCTTACTGGAGAACGGTTTTAACACATGCAAAGCACATTATCATTGTGCAGAATTGTTGAAATTCCTTCTTTGAAACTGCCCAATGAGTATTAGGACATCCCCGCTAAAATTAAAGCCAACTGATACTTTTTTTTGTAATTTCGGACCTGCGTCGCTTTTGGCTAAAGTTTCGCAGAATTTCAAACACTACACCTATACAACTGCTTACCATGAAATACGAGTATAGTCATTTCAATCAAAAACATATCCCCTTCTTACTTACCATGAGGAACAGTGTTATTGGTATCTGGTAGATAGAAATGGCTGTATTTTCCTGTGAAGCTGAAACGGTAGTAATAGACTGGCCCTTTGTTATGTTCCACCATAAGCTTTGCAGCTCGGTTAATAGGGAAGCCCTCTAAAGCATCTGTGTATATCTGGAAAATAGAAAGAATATTCACCGGAATGGCTGCATATTTATATAATAGTTAAGAAGTACTGAAGTATGGTGTTGGGCTTAAAATGCAGCTGTTAGTATTTGGACTTGAACTGACAATTTTGATGGTTAGGAGCCTTGGATAAAATAAAAAAGCATCATTTGAGCTTGTCTTTTATATTTATTCTATTATTGATTAGAAAATATGATGGACTTGAAATGTGTGTTCAGCGAGAAAAAATAGATAAGAAAAAAATAGTTGGAGCCCCAGCACACACCACTTCTTCATTTTGTAGTCCTGTGTTATTTACGTAAAAAAGGCCCTTTCAATCCCTTCAGCATTATCCTTCATCAAAATAAAAGAGATATTTACCTTTGCAAGGTTTTCTACTTGGCTCTTATCCACAGGCTTATCGCTCAAATAAAACTTCCTAATAGCTTTGCTGACTTTAATCGAGTGATCAGTGCCTCTCTCGTAGATGAATGCGATGGGTGCAACTTCCTCCCAATGTTCGTTCATCGCCTTAGTTAAAGTTTCATTATTAACGACAGCTGTTCAAAAAAAGAAAAAACAGGCGTTTATACCATGAATGGTTTGTCGGAAGAGAAAGCACTATCTAGCTTGGAATTAAAAACCTAAGTGATATATTTTTACAATCGTATTTGTCGTCCTTCCAGTTATCTGTGATCAATGAATTCATCATCAACATCAAACAACTATTACGACTCGCTAGCGGTAGTAATATTTTAGTGCTCTCATCCGCCTTCACAGTGCAATAGTCAGATGAACTGCAGCACCAGATTCTGTTCGAATGTTTACAGAGGGTTGTTAGAGTTGACAACATTAATACAATTTGGTTAATAGACCTATGCTATAGTTAGAAAAATAAGTTCAGTAGGAAATTCAGATTCTTCTTAGTACCACCTGCATTTAGACTATACATGTTGAGTAGTTGAATATGCTACCAAATAATATCTTGCCATAGACAGGAGTAACGTAATTGATGCTGATTCGTGGATCAAAGCTCGTTTCGTTTCTAATAAACCTTACCTAGATTCCATCAAGCAAAAAATATTTTACTGAATCTTCTTCCGTGTTTTTGACCAACATTATATACACACGTTTCCTGTAAATACGTTTGTATATTCTCCATTTTAGGGTTTGTAACAACTTATTTTTGTTTATAAGATCTAAAGTACTTACTGAAAGCATTAGCCGCAAACTCATCCTTGGTTTGTCCAATTATGAGTGGCACTTTGGTCAAGATCTGTCCTTTCTTTATGAGATGAATGGGGTCGTCAGTCAAAAACCTTTCTTGTCCAACATCAGGTTCCACTACTGGTGACCAAATTAGAATGGGGTCCAAACCAAACTCCTGAAAAATTAGATTTTGCATTAGAATTTGTGTTTGTCTAAACACTGCAAAAAGGTTCAGCTTTATGCATTCATGTTTGGTTGTATGTAAAGTCTAAAGTTTTGTCCTGCAGCTCAGATGTTGCCGATCCCGAAGTCGATGTTAGTGTACTTACTCTGAAACCTAGGAGTGAATCTCCAATTTCTTTTGCGGGTTTGGTCTTCAAACATTGTATTAGTTTTTCAGATGAGTCGTCAGAACATCCCAAAAGGTGTGCTTGGTGTTTGGCCAAATGAACTTGCTCAGATGGTATGGGATAGATACCCAAGGGTGACCCACTCATAGCAATTGCTCTATGGAACAAACCTGCAACATATAGTTTCATGTAATTGTAATTTTGGACTTATTTTGCATGTACCCGAAAACATAAGCTTTTAGTCTTTTAGGGAGAAGCTATGCAGTAAAACAGTTGATTGTGATTTTTTAATATAACCAGAATCCCTTACCTTTAGACATTGGAGATAGCATGTGTAGTATAGCACTCCAGCTTCCAGAACTGTATCCCAGTAGAGTTACAGAATTGGGATCACCTCCAAATGACTCAATATATTTCTGAACCCACTTTAATACCAACACCTGATCTTTCAGCCCATTGTTACCAGGTGCTTCTTTGTCACCGGTAGCCAAGAAACCTGAAAATAGTGTATAACTGATTATACAGACAGATTGCGAAGCTATAGTCAATAACATCACAAATTTCGTAAACTAGGTTGCAATGTAAGTATATAATAAGTTTAATTTTCTGCAATATCATATTAATATTTCTCCTGGAAATATTGGTGCCGTCGATGAAGTACAATTTGGACTCTTTCATCAAGGTATCAAGCTTATGGAGAGCAGATAGCAAGGAAGGTGGGACACAAACATGATAGAAAAATACTACTGTTGAAGAGAGAAAATTTGCGAAAAACAGATTGAATGGGAATTACGAGGAGGTACCCAAAAATAACAGGAATAGCATTGCAGTGGGCGGAGCTTGTGTAGTACACATTTCTGCCCCTAGAGGCGTACAGCGCAACTCATTTCCAGTTCAGTGCCACCTGACTTCACTGAGTCGTCGATCCGGCTTGTTTCGTTCCTCTGAAGTCATTATTTTTGCTAGAGCTGTTTCGTGCTTGTTTCGTTTTTTACGATGGCAAGTTTCAGTGAGCAACGTGCAGCTGTGGATTTTTATTTTCTAATCGGTAAAAATGCTGCGAAAATTGGTTTGTTGAAAATAGCTTACAAAGATGGGAAAAACTCAGGTGTACGAGTGGTTTGCTCGATTTAAAAATTGCGACATGTCGATTGATGAAAAATTTGAGAGCTTGTGTTTGCAGACTGACGGCTGACAATCGATCAACTATGTGTAAGTAGTGGGTTGTCCTGGAGTCCGGTTCATCGAATTTTAACAGAAGATTTGGGAATGAAAAGGGTTGCTGCCAAGTTTGTTCCTCGGGCTCTTACTGACAATCAAAAAGAACACCGAACATGTGCCTTGAAACAACAGCTTGAAATTGATCCAAATTTTCTGTCAAAGATCAACACTGGCGATGAGACTTGGTGTTACGGTTATGACCCAGAAACGAAGAAACAGTCAAGTCAAATGAAACATCAAAAAAATGCTGATTTGTTTTTTTGATGTCAAAGGCGTAGTCCATTCCGAGTTTGTTCCCCCAGATCACACTGTCAAAGGGACCTTTTATTTGGGGGTTTTAGGACGATTGCGAAACAGTTTTCGGCAAATAAGACCCGATTTGTGAAAGTCAGGAGACTGGTTCTTCCATCACGATAATGCACCTGCGCACACAGCCATCTCTGTTCGACAGTTTCTGGGTAAAAATGGCATGGTTCCGCTGCCTCACGCACCTTCTTCGCCTGACCTGGCTCCGTGTGACTTTTTCTTATTCCCACGGATGAAAAGGGGCATGAAAGGACGCCGCTTTGACGATATTGAAGAGGTCAAGAAAAAAACGAGGGCGGACCTGTTAGACATTTCTAAGGTAGAAAAGTTGAAAATGAATAGCTTTTTAAAAAAAATTTTTTTTTGATACCCCCTCGTATAATAGAAGTAGAAAGTGATACGGTTTTTTGATTAAGTTCTTCTCTCTAGCACTTTATTGCATTAATGTGACAAAAAAGTATGCTTACGTTCAATATCTTTTGTTTTATAATGAAAACCGTTAAAGTATAAATATAGATAATCATATACTCAAACAAATCTGTATTTTAATTTCACATAAATAAAAGTTAAATTTCAAACGCCAGTTTGGCCAAAACTTAGAGGAAGAAAAAATAGAATTGTCTAAAATCAGAGCCCCATAATCACCGATTTCTGTTAAAAAAACATCTTAAACGTGACAAGTAAATAATTGGATATATATTTAGTTTATTAGTGACTTTAGCGTATGGCGTTCGGCACCGGTATCATGTAAACTAATCTGATCGCCATAATTGTCTCTTTTGTACTAACTGGTCGCTAGTGCACCTCATGAGTTCTCTCTGTAACGTCTCCGAGGCAGACACGTCACACCGACAGCATATACTTGACGTTTAGTCAACACTTACAGCTACTACACGTAATTTGTATCCAGTACCAAAGTGACAGTTATGACGGCCAGATCACTATCCCTGTCAGTTGCGCTACGTTATAAGGATGCGGCTTACCTAATGATCCAAGACGATAGTTGAATGTCACCAGTACAATGTCCTTATCCATCAGATACTGGGGTCCAGCAACGTAGGTTGTAGCTCCTGCACTGTAGAACCCTCCAGGAAGAATAAAGACAACGACAGGACGCTTTGGATTTTCCTTACCCTCAGGGAGCTGGAAATTCAATATAATTCTAGCTAAATATGCTGTTTTTCCTACTACAGCTCTTTATTTGTTACTTTATTTAAGATCACATACCTTGGTTGTGTAGACATTCAAAGCTAAGCAATCCTCAGATATGATTGGTTTAACAACCGGTTGTGGGCATATTGGACCATCTTTGGTTGCATCATAGGTACCCTCATATTTTTCGATTGGTACAGGTGGCTAAAATTATGAATATAGATGGAAATTAATCTTGATACATATTCTATGAGAGGGAGAGTTAAGTAATCCATTTACTGGTTGAATTTTTTGCAATATAATTTTGAGGTTGTAACTGAAATCAACATAAATATACCCCCATTTCAGTAATCTGCTTTTGCAGTAGAATACTTTTTGACATAGATAACAACTATTGATGATAATTTCATTGTTAAAGATATCAAGTATAACCGAGATGGGGTTAAAAACGTTTACATGTTGGAAAGGTCAGTCTGTCGTCAATGCTGTTTTCATCTGATTTGATAATTTTTTACATCGAGTTCGATATTTACATAATAATTACCTTGAATCTCAATTCGTCAACTGGTGGCTCAGCATACTTTATTCCCAGAAACGAGAAAATATCTTTTCCGAGCCTGCTGGTTAGCGTCGTGCCTTTTATAGTTCCTAGAGGCGTATTAACAATTGGATGTTCTGGGTGCGACCAAACATACTGAAGGGTCAGTAGTGTTAGAACTGCCGTCTTCGCAATCATTCTGCGATGATATTGAGATGTATCATCAGCAAGTACTCAATATATACATTGTAAAGCAGCAATCATAAAACAATTGTTTCAGCGATGGGTAGGTGTTTCGTGCTATTTGGAACCTCCTCAACATGGTCTCATGTTGGGAAACAAGCAAAAGTTGAAAAAATATCCTCTATCCCGAGCAACGGTTTATCGAAATTAGACGGCGCAAAGTGCCAGATATTACCAAAATGGACCACTGCGAGGGTGAAAACAGCAAGCTGTCTACTTGAAGTGTATTCCAGGTCGCCGGGTCACTACTGTGACCGCTAGATGCCGCCAATTTTAGTGTTATGCGGCGCATTTTGCTTCTCAAGGTTTTTCTAACTTTTTACAACCCTCACATCTAACTGTTATGTTTCCGAATATGGGGTAAGCTGGTAGCCTGACACCTGATATTTTTTTATTCAAAATTATGTGTTGCTTTACTGTTGTTTAACGTCTTTCGCCAATTCGACAACTAATAGTTAAAGCTAATGAGTTTTTAAAAGGCAAAATTTGGAACCTCTGATCTAAAAACGTTTTCGATAATTCTTAGGTCACTTTGTAAGTCAGAGTTGTTATTTTTGTCAACTTTCCTCAACTATATACGCCATTGGTGATATGTCTTAACCTTTTAGAGTTCAGCAATAAATTGTTTCGTGTTTTGTTTACCAACATTTTTAGTTATTTTCACGGATTTTGGTGAATCATTTGTAATTCAGAGTGCTTAAGTATCACCATTTAATAGACGGAGGCTTTGCCCTTCCCCCTTGCGCTACGTCCCTGAGGGTACCCAACGGTACTTGAAGTAGGAAAACTTGATTTAATTTAAACTTTACTTAAGCCTAGTACATATCCTCAAAAACTGTTACTCATATTCAGGTTGAGTTGATCAGTAAGTAATAGCACCTTAACAAAAACTTATGTTGTGTTAGCCTTTATGCGAATGTCATACAATTATTATTTACTGTGGTGTGTAATATCAGTATTAAGATGTACCTGTTAGTGTCAGTGCAATTCTAGGTAACCTCATACATCATTAATTATTGACGGCGAGCCCACATGGTTAACAGATACCTCATTCTATAGTAAATACTGGTAGATCAAAGTAAATACTGATCTGGTAACCTTAGTTGTTAATAAATTATTAACATTGTGTGTCCGCATTCCACTTATTTCATTTTTATTTCTTGGGAGTGACTTGTGCAGTGATATAACAACGTTAATGCAGATTTGTATATATACTCGTACGTATTTACATGTCTGCCGTTAAGAGAGGATTTTCCTATTTCTACTAATTAGATAGTAGTATCTCCGAAAAATGTGCATTAGCGGCCTTAGATGGCTGTTAGTCCTCATCTTTTGTTTTTGGCATTATTAAATGAAAAAATAAAATTTGTAAATGGATTCGTATAGATTATTCAAAAATTGCATTTTGGTATGTATCGTAAATATGCTTATATAGCCAAGTCAGGACGTTGATTCTTGAAATTTACACAATGGCTAAATCTTAAGGTGACTCTCTTGGAGGCAATTTACTTGAATGTTATTGTAGCCAATTAATTTCCTCTTATTAGACGAAATAGAAAAACAGATAGTTGGAAAGATGTGAAGATCTAGAAATGGGAAAAGCGGTTTTCCTGTACGCTAAGCAAAACCTGCAGATCTTTCAGTGTCTAATGCAAAATAATCTAATCAACCGTAAACCGTCATGCACTTTCATTTCAATCTCCCGTTGTCAAGGGTAACAACAAAAATGGAATTATTTAACCTTTAGAAGGGAAAAAATGCTAAACAGCTTACCTTGCAGTGGGCAGTGCAGTTTTCTTCAGCTGCAGAATGCACACTGACGTTAAAATGGTATGCAAAGCGTATATGTAGCAATTCGCATTGACTACTTTATTTATTGCATGTATCTCTTTGTTTGAACAAGTAGCAGTGTATGTATTCGTAGGTTAGATGGGCAAAAGTCAGTGATTGGAGCTATCAAAAAAGCATAAGAATTCAGTGTTCGTGGTGAAGAAGACGCTGAAACTATATAGTTTAACGCCGGCACCTCTCAGTACCATTTGCGTCTAAGGATGCCTAAATTTCAAATTCACTATCTTTGTTAAGGGCACTGGCAGGTTGTGGGTAACTTACTGGATATTCAAGGGGTTAAATGTCGGATAATATTTCAAAGGAGTCTTAAACTGTGTCGTGGAACGGCTACAGCTCTTAGCATGCGATATCCAATTTCTCATTACATGCAAATCCTTAACAGTATTTAGCGGAAAATAAAAATGAAAAGAACTACATATACAGCGCATAGTAATGGAAGGACAAGGGATGTGATTTTTCAAGCATTTGCACTACAAAAATATTGATTCTTACAGTAGATGTTTCTGATAAATATTCGTGCGTTTTTTTACTTCTGTTTTGTTACCCACTAGAAAAATAACGATTCGTCGATAAACGCAGCGCCGTTTGCTCCGCTGTTCGATTTTCGTCCGCCGGCGCGCATGACGTCACGCGGAGAGTGATTATCATTTGGGTTGATATTAATAACGTGCATATTTTCACCTACATGCCAAACGGCTGGACGGATGTTCACATATGAGGTGTCGTTGGATTCGTCTTAGCGGTGCGAGTGACACTAGCTACATTGAAATTTTATAAAAAAATAAAATGATGGCTGTTAATAAAAGATTTCAACCTTGTAATTCCTACTTCTTAGGCTACGGATCAAACGGCTTGATAGATTTTCACATATGAGGTGTCGTTGGATTCATCTTAGCGGTGCGAGTGACACTAGCTACATTAAAATTTTATACACAACAAAATGGTGGGTTTTAATAAAAGATTTCAAGTCTGTAATTCCTATTTCACAGGCTATAGCTTAAGCGGCTTCTAGCTCCACAATAGAGCGTATCGTCTCTTCACTGTAAAAATAAGATAACTCCATTTTTCTACAATACCTATATTTTAGTATGTTCTGTGGAGCAGGATTGACATGTTCATGTCATAATACTGTACTACATTTATCCTTATTCCACAGAACAACCTAAGTACATGTAAGTGTGAAAATGTACGCAACTCGAAAAGTAGAAAAATGGAGTTATCTTCTTTTTGCAGTAAGGTGGTGGTATAACGATAAATGGACTTAGTCTAAGCAACAATTTTTTTCCATTGCCTTTTACGATTTTTCTGGTTTTCAAACTTTTATTCAGTTCTGTGATCCGGAAGAACATCGTTGACCTGAAATACAGTTTTTTAGCTTTTTCAGGGTAGTCAGTGTTGCTGCTCTTCAGCAGAAGTTCACCTATAAAATTTTGCTCTTTTGTCACTATTCCGTCCCCATTGAATGTAGTGAATACCTTGTTCAACTTCTCAATTTGATTCATGAAAGTTGCGGATTTTGATAATCCACCCTCACTAAGATGGTCTATCCATGAATAAGTTGCCTTTGAGGAACTTTTCAACCTCTCATCCTGCAATTTATTGCAAACAAAGCCCGCCAAATTTTCCAGCCCGTCATACTAGAGCTCATCTATTTCTTCCACTAAAACTTGCTCGGCATAGTCAGATGATACTTCAGGTGCATTCATTTTATTCTCGTTAATGATGCGGTTTGTGGTTAGTGGAATGTCTGGAGTATCCTCTGACTCTATGCTGCAATAGGTACTCTGAGTATGCGCCTTCATTTCGCCACAACATATATGACCTTATTCTATACTTAAACTCTAGAGGACTTGTATGATCATGAAGACCATCTTTTGCCCTAATTACTCCGAAAAAGTTTTCTATCACATCTTGATTAAGACGTCTTGTTAACAGGTATTGGACGCTGAAGCGTCGTTTCAGATCCTCCAGAGCATTTTCTAGCAAACCCTAGCGCTTTTACATTGACTTTGTCTTATCCTTTTGTGAGATTGATTGTCGGAATTACATCCCACAACAGCACACCGCATTTGTATCAATTTATCAACCACACAGGGTATATAAGGTATGTATAATTAATACAACAAGTCACAAAACCACCAAAAAACACCAACAAATCGCACTATAAAGAATTAGCCACGATACACGTGAACTGCCGTAACGTTACGACAATCCTGCCGCTGGTAACCACGAGTCGATAACTCTCCGGGTGACGTCACGAAGCTTCGCCCACATGCGCAATATCCTATCTTTAGTGTATGTGTATCGTGGATAAACGTATCAACCGATCTATTATCATAATGTCTTGGAAAGCTATGTTGTATTCTTCACACCATAGTCAACAATTATTATTGACACTTGCGATAGAGAGCATTCCAAGACACGCCATGAAGCACGTATCTATAAGACTAACTGCGCGATATTTTGAGAACAAAAAGATGATATTGTATTTTCAGACAATCTGTTCAGGAAAGTCAAATGGCTTTCATCTCGCTTTGACCATGAAATATAGCTGGCTTGATGCGAGGATATCCGTTTTGATTGCTTCTATCACAGCTTGTCTGCCTCTATCATTTGTTAGATATATTGGTCCAGCTGCGTCACGCAAAACGACTATATTTATATTTCAGCGGATTCATACGAGCATTGTAACTGAAATTTTACTAGAGCTGTGATAATAATCTATTTACTCTAGATATACTAGCATCTCTTACGAATTTGTTGGCTGCTTTCAACTCTATCAACGTTAAAAAAGGGTTGTGGTAGTCAAACCCTCTGGATAACATAATTAATATCTTCAAGTGATGACTTTTACGATTTACTTCGTTGACAGCCACCAGTGCACATATTCGTTCAGAGTAATGGTCTTTTTGTGATTGACAAGTAAAAGTCTTCTAGTTTTCGAGATATTGCCACTTTTAGGTATTTTCAAAAAATCACTACCTTTTGCTCCCTTTTTACCTGTTGTGACTATTAAGAACGTCTAACTTATGAGTTTTTTCCTGGATTACCATTAATAGTTGGTTGAGACAACCGGGTATTCATTTCATTGAAAACTAACACGGTATGCTGAGAAAAACTAATACATTTCGTTTCAATGTGAAAACCTTTAGTAAGGTTTGACTAACTACTGTGAAAAAAATATACCAGACTGAACCGACAAATGACCTTAAAAACTAGCCTATTTAATGCTCTTTTAAAAATAGTATAACTTTAAATTATTTGTATGTTCTTTCTACTAAAAATTAAATAATTCCAAGTTTTATCAATGAAGTCGTAATACTTGCGAAATACTACAAATAAAAAATAAGACTAGCAGTCTTTTGTATCCAAGTCACTAAGTAATGAAACGACCTAAACAGCGAAAGAGCTAAATAACACGTGTGTAGCACTGACACAAGGAGCAGTACTAAATTAACCCCGCACGTGCGGTGAGCAGGTACCACACCTGTTCCTCGAGGTGACTCCGACCGAACAATGAATGTGAGAGCGAGATAGTCAATGACATGTTTAGGTCGTTACATCACTTAGTGATTTGGATACAAACGACGGCTGCAAGTATCACGACTTCTACGACAAAACTTGGAATTATTCAATTTGAGTAGAGAGAACTTATAATTGTTATACTATTTTTCAAAGAGCATTAAGTAGGCCAGTTTTTAGGATCATTTGCTGATTCAGTCGGGTACATTTTTTCCACAGTAATTTGGTAAAGGTTTTCACTTTGAAACAATATGTACTAATTTTTTTAGGTTACCGCGCTAGTTTCCAATGAAAATACTCGGTTGTCTATTAATGTTAGCCCAGGAAAGAACTTATAAGATAGAAGTTCTTAATAGTCATAATATGCTGAAAAGGAGCAAAAAGTAGTGACTTTTTGAAAAAACCTAATAGTGGCAATACCTCGAAAACTTTACCTTACTAAGGTCATGTTGATTTAATCTGATTGATCTGAAGCTAATCTACTTCCCGTGTCACTCTGGCGTGCTATTTCTGGGACACACTGTATATATCATGAGAGACAAGGCCTAAAGCCGAGAACTCTTCAAAAAATCAACATAGCAACAATATTTCAGACTGAGGTAACTATACAGGTATGTATAAAAGAGCTAGTAAGGAGGGAACTGCAAATCACTCGACAGCCAGGCAGCTATTAAAACATTAAATTCATTTCAAAGTGTAGTCAAATATGAGGATGAGAACATGAAGGGCACAAAGGAAATAAGAAGGCGAGTGATATAGCCCGACAGAGTGCGGTCAATTGTGTTATATGTTATATATCAATCTGGACGAAAAGCAAGGTCATAGAATGGTGGAACAACCAGTCGGGACAAGGGCAGGCAAAAAAGTGAAACCTATAGGGAAGGCCATAAGGACCATAGTTAACAGGACACTGTCAACTAAATCGACATATATGGCTCTTGGATCATTAGAGGCCATATGCCGTTTCTGCAGAGAGCATGAAGAACCGCCAGTGCATATTTTGTGTAAGTGCGGGGGCCTGACAAGGCTTCGGTTTCAGATATTAATAATCACAACTACAAAACTATAAACAAAGTCCTCTGATTAAAGGATCAAAACTGTACACAGTGCATTAGATAGTGCACATAGATCCATATGAGTCGCAGTGGCGTTAAATCTGCCAAGCCAACCCATCTTTGTAATCCGTAATCTGGCCGTCGAACTATATAGGGTGTTCTAAAACTTGGAACTGAAGAGCTATCCATGTGATAAGGAATTTTTCATTATGTCTCATCACATGTTTTGTTCCTAAATACTGCTTAAGGTTATGTGGGGGAAAGTCCAAACTCTAGAGACATAAAAGTATCAAATTATTTTGTACATTCTTGGACACGTACTTCCGTTATAAATGGCGCAAGAAAATATATCTATTTATTCAAAGGATAAATACAAGTAACACAACGAGTTCGGTAGTCACAATTTTCTTTAAATCTCAATCAGTGTATTCACTCAGCGGGTACAGTTTCTCCCACTCTTTATATCGGCTTTCGTATAAATTCGTTTTCTCTGTAAGTTTGTGGCCTATATCCAAGTAGTTATTTTTCTTGGTGCTGTACGGCTCCCATTGCACACCTTTAAATTCGGGATTGTTGCTTGGTATCGGATTTCTAAAAAAAACATATCGGTCAATGATTTTCTATGCGACTGTGTATGTACAAACACGCAAGCGCATTGTTATGGGTAGCATGTCGAAGAACATAGAACGTTATGTTGATTGCATACTTTTATATGGTTATATCAGGTGCCCATTCCACAGGATATTTTTTACCACAGACTACTACGTTGAAGAATAGGTACTTTAGTTTTGAATCAACACGTATTCACAAAAACATACCCACTGCTGGCAAAATTAGCATAAATAGCGGTTAATTTAGACACCATTTCGACTTCTTTTGGCGAATCTTTACCGAATAATGGGAAAATTGGTTCAATATAGAAAAGGTATATTAGGTCATCGTGGTGGACAGCTCCTGAAATGGAATAAAAGTGATGAAAAATGGTTACAACGATCTCTTAGACATTTTCCTTGCAACAGTATTTGGTACATACCGATTGTTTCGTTAGTCTTAGGCTTACGAAAATGACTATATTGTCCCTTATAACTGAACTCGTAGTAATAAACCGGCTTATCACTCGTTTGGGATATCAGTTTTGCAGCCCTATTGACTCCGAAGCCTATTACTGAGTCAGCATATATCTAAAACAAAAAATGCACATGCCATCAAGTTAATGAGGGAAAAGTTCAATAACTACTGTAAAACTTATTCCTGCCGATACACAGAATAGTCGCAGACAGACTCCCGTCATATCCTTCAGAGCCTTCATCAGTACGGTATACCTCCAAACAGGATTAAAGCAATTCGCCCTAAAATTACATTTGCAGATGTCTTTGCTAAGCAGGCGCATAAAGCTATTTAAAGATTTACAATTTAAAGATGTTAACACCATACCACTCAAGAACATGACATTTTGAGCAAAATTAGAAGGCTATTGAGACTGCACTTATATACTTTGGGCTGTCTTAAAGAGTCAGAATACATACATTTGACAGGTTTTCAAACTTAGACCAAGTGATAGGTTCGTTGTTGAAATAAAACTTCTTCAATGCTTCACTGATCCTCCTGTTATGCTCTGTGCTTCTTCCCAATGTAAACGCTATTGGTGCTATATTTCCGAAATCGTTGTTCAATTCGAGTGTCAAAGTAGAGTTGCCCAGCACGTCTGAAAATAAGCCACTTTAATGGTTGGAATGAAAAAAGACCTGAAACTTCGGTGATCTGGTAGTTTTTAATCCATAAGGCTCCCTTCGGAGTTGTTAAGTTACGTAAAGTTTTTTCCAAATACTGACTGAGAATGCTAAATTTGCCTTTAAAAACTCACAATATGCTTTGTATCCAAACTCAAATTCTGTTTGCCCAGTTATCAAAGGGACATTCTGAAAATTTCCGTTGATTATCGACCTCATAGGATGCTCCGTTAAATATCTTTGCTGTCCAAAATCTTCCTCAATAACAGGATACCAAATTAAGATAGGATCGCTTCCAAATTCCTTAAATTAAAATGAGAGATATAATATGCCTTCTACTTATTATGAGTTGTATTGTGTACTGTAGTTCTAAAACCTGAAGACTATTTATAAAGATGTTTAGGATATCTGTGCATCAACCACTATCTTTTTCATTCTAGGGGTATGCTCAGAAAATATAGTATTCAACATAATAGCGGATGTACCACCTACTCACAAAATATCTTTTTTACTTGAGAAAACTTTACCAAATGGTTCAGTTGTTACCACAACACAACAAAACAGCAGATGCTCTTACGTAAAATTGCGACAACGAGTTTCCAAGCTTCTCATATGGCACAGATTTCAAGCACGCCACCATTTCAGAAATAGTTTCGTTTGGACAACCAACAAGCCCCGCTTGTTTTTTAGCCAAGTTGAGCTGATTTCTTTCAGTTGGGTACGGTCCAAGAGGGCTCCCACTCATCGCTACAGCCTTATGAAACAATCCTGAAATAATTCATTGGGAAAAATGTCTTTACTTTGGCTATTCGTTAGTAATAACGCTCCGCTGTTACCTCGTGACATTGGTGAGATCATGTGTAGAATGACGGAAAATCCGCCAGCACTATATCCTTGAACGGTAACTGAATTTGGATCTCCACCAAAGCTAGCAATGTTATTTTTGATCCATTTCAAAGCTTCAACCTGGTCTTTCATGCCGTTGTTTCCAGGAGCTTCTTTCGTGTCAGTACTCAAAAAACCTTGAATAACATAAGATTACTTGCTTGTAATACATTCTCTGTTTAATTACTATGGCCTCACACAGTGCCACGCGTTTTTCTGGCGGCTCGGCTGCTCTAATCTTCAAGGTAAGGAAATAGTAGTAGAGAGAGTCTGAAATACTACTACCCACTATGCATGCAACTGCGATGTACAGAAATGTGTGTTCATCCACTGAAAATTGTTGGCCTTATCTTTCTTCTCATCTCTCATTCTTAGTGATACTAGATAGATAGCAGATATTCAGCTTGAACTCGAACCATATATCAGAATTAGGAACAGATGCATAGACGTTGTGCAGTTTTATCTCGATAAGAAGACATGCTCGGTTTACTTACTCTTGAAATACGGACTAAGGAATAATAGATCAGAGTGAGTTCAAAAATATCTCTGAATGCGGTGTACATTCTACATACCCAATGTTGCTAGTCTGTAATTAATTGTAACAAGCACAATGTCTTGGTCAAGATAGTAGTTGGGTCCAGCCCAGGTGCTAGTTGAACCCACACTGTAGTAACCACCTGCGTGTATATACACAATAACCGGTCTCGTTGGATTGTGATCCGCTCCTGGTAACTAAAACAAGATAAATCATTTATAGCATTGTAACCATATAATAACCAATATAAAAAAGGAAGGGTTAGAGACCAAAGCCTCTGTTCATTTAATATTTTTTTATGTATTGTGAATTTCTCCTGTTCTAACTTTTTGGTAATCAAAGACAATCGAATGGATAACCAAGTCCATACGTATAAACTTTATCATACGACACTTAACTACAACACGGGTAGATCATCTTTGTCCCCGCATTGGTCAGCCCTAAGTACAATGTATAAACATTCAGCTGTTAGTTTCAACGAAAATGGGTATTTCCACTCCTAGTAGACTAATTGAAAGTAATTGCGGATAATTTCGAAAATGAGATATTATGTTGTTTATTTATTTTGTTCCGTCGGTCTGTCTGTGGGTCTGCCTATCGGTTTGTCCTCAAATCCATGGCCAAAACTTCGGAAATGCAGCTCGGATTTGGATGAAATTTATACACAAGGTTACTTCTATAACATTGACGCTATTTTTTCAAAGTGTCGCTGGGCGCTCATCTACGACTGTTGATTACTATGCCCTTTCTTTCCATAATTTTCGCTATCGCCTTTTAGCTAAAACGTGTGAGGAAGGGGTCAAAAATATATTTGGTGAGACTCGTGCGTATGGTAGGGACACTATGTTGGAAATTATTTTGAAAAACAATAAATAGCTCGTTGAAGGGACAAAACGAATGTTGTGCCTAACATACGTGGTATCGTCTTTAGACTTTCCTCAAGCTCAGTGACGGCGCGTGTCTTTTCCTAAACTGATACCAAAACCAAATGTGAAAAATTTTATTAAAAAAGAGTTTATTTTTAACCTCCCAAATATAAGTTTTTGCTTATTTTAGGTATTTTTATTTAAACTATTTTTAAATTAAGGTAAACATTCCTGGACTGAGCGTATGGGGCACTTGATATACCTCATCGTCTTATGCTATGACTAATCCCAGCCGTCCGAAAAAACAGTCGACGCTTCTAGATGTTCGGAAAATTTTTGATCTTTTTTGGCAATGAATGTTAACAATTCCCTGTAATTTCCTCTATTGTCAGATTCATCCACTTCAAAAGGAACGGTAATTCATGTTTTGCCAAAAAACATACGGTATCTAGAAGTGTGCTGACTAAAAGCTTGGTTAAGACAACTTTCGATTCTTGTTTTGCCAAACTGAATTAAATTGGCTACACATCTCACATGTAACGGAGAAATTTCATGTCTCCTCTTTAGAGCCCTAAAACTATTTAAATCGTTGACTCCGCTGCACTTTATTCTGTATAGAACAGAAGTCACCGCCAACAATACAATCTGTTTTTTACAACCACATAAACAAGAGTTTCCATATACCAACTTAATTTAAAATATCAAACTACGTTATTTTATTCCTTTTTAAATTTATCTAAAATAGGCGTTGGTCTTCCATTTTCAATGATCTCCTTTTTTCTTAAAAATTATACAAGGAGAGAATGACTTTTCAAGTAGTTGATCGATTACGCAGCGACACTCATCCATGTTTAATTGCACGCATACTACAGCCGCTAACCAAAACGGCTACTAACGAGTGAGAAGTAAGTAACCAAATCAAAAAATGGTAACAAGCCCACATAATAGTCGCAGCGCCCCACGCACTAGAGCTACCGCGATCAGGCACCAACCGGTACCTATTGTCGCCGTCAGACTACCAAGTGTATCCATAAACGAAAATGGTAACAACCGACAACCAAGTCGAGGCGAGTCAGCTTCATCGCGTTCGCAAAACCTAGACACTATAGGGCGCATTATTTTCGTGGGGCTAATTTGCCATTTACTGAACTACTATTACATATCGCTGTTGGTAACCAAATACATGAAATTATTTCACAGTACTTAGTCATCAAATATTTATTTTTAACTGTTACCAATGGTAACAATGGTTACATGGACGCTTCGCCACTGCTCAAGCTGCAATCTACCCATGCAACTCTGTACTAATTTGTGTAACGACGAGAACAATAGTTACCTTTGTAGTGTAAACATTCAAAATCAAGCAATCTTCTGATTGCCTATACGCAGTTGGCTGCGGACATAAGGGTCCATCCTCTGTCGCATCGTAAATCCCTTTCCATGACCTGATAGGTTTTGGTGGCTGGAAACATACACGGCAGTCATTAGTAAAGTAGCAGAAGAGTAGTTTCGACTGGATAAAGTATCTTAATGCTAAAATGGGAAAAGAAATGATGAATAGGGAATGAAAGGTTTGGAATTCACACCAATAGCAATGACTGATATACCGTTGGACAGCTTTTCAAATATGGGATTTATAGGAAACCAGCTTCGTGAATGCATTCAGTGGCCTCCCTCGAAAGGTTATCAATATGTCAGGAAATGCTGGATAAATAAAACAAAACACGTTACCTGAAATCTCAGTTCCCCAATCGGTGCTTCTGCATACTTAATGCCTCGAAACGAGTATATAGTTCTTCCTAATCTGGAGGTTGTGGTGGTACCATTGATTCGTCCAAGTGATGTGGTAATAATAACACAATTTCCATAGTTCAAAGCGAAGGTTGCGAGCGTAAGGTACAACGCTGGTGATCTGATGACAATCATATTTTGAGCTTCTGTAAGACAAAAAACAAACATATCAGATGAGCCTTCCTGGATATAGTGTCCATCTGTCGAACACATCTTTCAGAAGAATTCGTGCAAATGCGCCATTTTTCAAAATTGTCAACATTTATCCTCATTGCTGAACTTAAAATAAATAGATTAGAACATGTGAACCTAAAGCTTACGCAAAGTGGTTTCTTGCGTAAAATCGGTTGTCCTCGCGGATACACAGTGTGAAAAACCAGGAATCAGGAACTTTAGTGACTTTAACGGTAAAAATTGATATGGCAGCTTAGAAGAGATATGTTCCTACGAGCATTACAGCGAGCAATTGGATGACTCCATTTATTTTCCTTTAGTCATTAGATCTCATATTTTTATCATTTATTATCTTGATAACGTTATCACAATATTTTTTTTATTGTGGTGGAAGTAGGAAAAATATGAATTCCGATCGTTGGAGCTAGCGATAAATATTTGGAGGTTTGTTCATACAATCAGTAAATCCAAAGTTATTGCATTTTACTGATGGTAGGCCTAAGGTATAATACAGTGAAACTAGATTGTAATTCATAAGCACATATTTCAACAATCACCAATTAAAATTGCACATGCTCAGAAAATATAGATCTAGATCAGTTTTCCTCCAAGATCCGAATCGAATAGGAATTCCAATCGTTGGACCTAGCGATAAATATTTGGAGGTTTGTTCATACAATTAGTAAATCCAAAGTTATTGAATTTAAATGATAGTAGACTTGAGGGATAACACAGTAAAACTAGATTGTACTTCATGAGCATATAATATTTCTACAATCACCAAATAAAATTGCACATGCTCAGGAAATATAAATCTTTCCATAGCTTGATACAAGTATGATCTTCGCACATCCGTTCTTTCATTACCAGTTTTTCTCTAATATCCAAAAAGTTTCGAGTATCTGAGTGTGATGTGTAATTTTTCGCTATTAAGTGTTCGATTGTGTGTTGGTGTTGGATAATTCCCGGCATATTGTAGTAATAAATTGTACTCGATACTACTTAGAATAAATAGACAAAAGCCAGACTTTATTCATGTTTCGTTTGTTCTATTTTCTGCAAATAATTACGTTATTCGGTGCGTAATACGTTCAGAGCATTATGCAGCTTGCATCCTATACATATATGTTACCGATAATCTGTACAATTCAGGTATTCTATACAAAACCTAGGTAATATATAGAATACCTGGCATGCCCAGGCAAAGTATGAAATATTATGAATATTATTATCCATTACATACTTTACCTAGGTAACGAATACAATGGCTAGAAATTGTATAGGGTACCTGCTGTTTCACCGGCAATGTGAAAAATAATCAATGTTACCTATAAAATGACGGGCAAATTAAACAAGTTGTATTATTTAAAATCAACTTTATTAAAACTAACAATTAGAGGGCTCCTTAAAAGTAGCTTTATGAAAAGGGTATAAGAAAAGCGCCTTTCTGTTACTACAGTAAAATTACAGTAGAAGTAATGTGAAATATTATTCTGGCTCTAAGTATAGAATACATAGGCAAAGTATTAATCAAATAATATTTCATACATTACTTACACGTTTCAGGTCTTCTATACATTACCTAGGTATTGTATAGAATACCGGATTATACAGATTACCGGTAACATACATATCTTACGTTAACCGGAGATACCTACGATGAGTCTCTAGATTTATCAATAGAATACTCTTTCATCAATTTTCCTTATTTATTTGAAAGACAGTATAATGAAAAGCATAAAAAAGAAACACTTTCAGCTGGTCTATTGATCCAACGGGTACAGTTTTTCCCATTCCCTATATCGATTCTCGTATAAATTCGTTTTCTCTGTTAGGTTGTGGCCTATGTCCAAGTAATTATTTTTCCTAACGGTGTATGGCTCCCAGTGAACACCTTTGAAGTTGGGATTATCAGCTGGTATTGGGTTTCTGGAATAAATAGGAGAAAAGTTAGTAGATGTCGGTTATCATATTTTTAATATTCTAGTAATCATTTGAGATCAAAGCAATAAGTTCTCACAAAGCCCAACGTTTCATCCGGTCTTTGTTGCTAGTAGCGACATAAAATCTCTTTTATGCCTTAGAGCTGCATTGCTTGGACTGAAACATTTCGGAAGTCTAGAGATTTAGTTTTTGAAATACCTACACATTCAGATCTTTCCACGTTTATAGATCTTATAGTGTCGAAAAAGTACCTAACAATATACGATGTAGTACATACCCACTTTTAGCAAAATTTGCATAAATAGTAGTTAACGTTGACACCATCTCTACTTCCGGATATATACCAGCATAAAAAAGGTATAGTAAATCATCGTGGTGAACAGCCCCTGAAATAATATATAAAGAAAGTCATAAATTTTAGAACATTCAGCATTATACGATCGCTCCTAATGTACGTCTGACTAGATGAGAAAAACTAAGTAATCATGCATAAATTGAGCTTCCTTGACTCGGCTCTATTGACAAATAATGTATGAAAAAAGGACACCATTATGTACTGAAGTAAGTGATTTCCTATATTGTCCAAAATAGGTCAAGTAGACATGCTGATTTATACAGAGTGTCAAAATTTATAGAGAAACAGTTATGTCAGTGACATGCAGTATCTCGAATACAAAGTCTTACTGAATTTGGACACATTGCACATAAAAGGCGTAGCGCTTTAGGGCTTGTGTTGAGGATAAGATCAGTAGAAACACGCTCAAGTTGTTCCGCTACCAAATTGTTCTGATCCTACTAACTATGGTCAAATGAGACCGATCATTCTACGGCCTATTTTCTCTGAAGTATTGGAACGTGTGATTTACGAGGAGCTCTGCGCCTAATTATATTCTAACAAAATTATTCCATCTAAGCAATCTGAATTTCGACAAGGTCATAATACAGCTTCGGCACTCTTTGATTTATCAGACAATATAACAATGGCGCTTGACAACCAAAAAGCAGTAGCTGTCGTACTTCTTGACCTTATTAAAGCATTTGACACAATTAACCATTCAGTTCTTGTGACTAAATGCGGTTATTATAGATTTTCTGAAAAACCTATTCCGTTTATTCAAACCTACCTTGAAAACCGGTATCAAAAAGTTCGTCTACACCCCTACCCTAAAAAATTTGTTCTGGTGTACCACAGGCATCTGTCTTGGGCCCCCTGTTATTTTTATTATAGGTATATCTCAGATTTGGATACAGAGGTAAAATCATGCAGCACGCAATTTTTTGCCGACGATACTCAAAAAACAGTGAATAATAAAATTAATCAAGACCCTGCCCGAATTGAAAAGCTTAGTAGTAGTCATAATCTTCATTTGAACCCTTTAAAGATAAATATGGTGTTTACGCAAATAAAACAAAAAGGAATGCTTTATGAAAGGACATAGACATACATTTAAAAGATAATAAAGTAGTTCCTGCGAGAAAGCAATTGCGTGAATCTTTCTTGTTTTCAATGATATCATATTGCTAATAACAATAAATCGTATTCAAAATATTATGAATACATGTTGCAGACTTGTACATGGTCTCAGAAAATATGATCATCCCATATATCGAATGCCATTAATGACCTATAGAGAGGTTTTTTTAGTTCCACACCACAGCTCATCTCTAATTCAGAATACATATATTTACAATGCGATCAAATTATATAGTTAATTAGATCGTAGCTTAAAATTTTATTGGTTTAACCAATTCATTGCCCAAATTCAAGAAAAAAGTGAAAGAAATTCTACTTGATCAGCAGCGAAATCTGTTGTAAGTCTTATGCCTTTACATAGATTATACTTTATTTTGTTTTTATTGTATACAGGTGGTAATTTTCAACAAATTTTCAGTTTTTTGACATCTTGTATTGCTAAGCGGGTTGGGCTGTAGAATAGATATAGTATCTAAATGTCGCCTCCTGTAATACGTAATACTATTACAATTAAAAAAAATATTAATTAATTATTATTATTGTTATCATTATCGTTATTATTATTACTATTATTATTGTTATTATTATTATTATTATTATTATTATTACTATTATTATTATTATTATTATTATTATTATTATAAAATACCTTAAGACAACACAATACCAAAATGTCTGGTCACAATTACATCGCCGAAAGGTACCATTACCATAGACCATAACATACATACAAGCAACGAAATACTGACCTATTGTCTCGTTACTATTGGGCAAGTGGAAATGACTGTACCGTCCCTTGAAGTTGAACTTATAATAATAAACAGGCTTGTCACTCTTCTGAGATACCAACTTTGCAGCTCTATTTACTCCGAACCCAATGACAGAGTCTGCAAATAACTAAAATAGACAATACGTACACTGGATTAATTTCTGTGTTAATTTAGGGGTATTAAGAAAATATTCAAGAGTTCATGTTAGAGAGAAGTGATCTGGACAATCAGAGAAGGGTTCAAGCTAATTGCTTACATTGGACAAATTTTCAAGCTTAGACTGTGAAATTGCCTCGTTGTTGAAATAGAATTTCTTCAAAGCTCGACTGATCACATTGTTATGTTCCGTAACTCCACCTAGTGTGAACGCTGTTGGAGCTGTTTCTTCGAAGTTACTGTTTAACTCGTTGAGCAGAGTAGAGTTCCGCAATACATCTGAAAGTACCATGTATTAACAAAAGTGTGAAATATAAAAAAATTTTGAGCACAGTTCGTTGAATTGGTATGCGTTTGGGGCACTATAGCGTGAAGCTAAAGGATTTGTAGATTTTTTAGGGTTAACGACCCTCTTTGCCGCACTACAGTAGTCTTTGACCAGGATAATTATGGGAGATGTTTTTTTTGGGAAATCTGCTGCCACGTAATTGTCTCAAGGATATACCTTATGAATTGTGTGTTTTTGATTCATAGCTCACCATATGCCCTGTATCCAAATTCAAACTCTGTTATTCCTGTTATTAAAGGCAGCTTCTGAAACTTGCCAGCCATTATAGACCTCATGGGATGCTCCGTTAAGAACCGCTCCTGTCCAAAATCATCCTCAATGACAGGATACCAAATCAAAATTGGATTGTTTCCAAATTCCTTAAAAACATAAATAAAGTTATGCTTCATTTCATAGACGCAGTTCCACTGACAAGGTAGTTGCTTTCTGGGTAATTCATAAGAATAGCGTTACCATTGATAATGTACCCAACAAGTAACATACGTACAAAAACGTTTCTTTTATAGCTACGACTTTTTGGAGTAGACCGTTGTAACACATGCCATATGCATTCAATATGGTACCACGACTATTAGATATATCTGTTATATACGTTTCAATAAACCAAACAAGTCACATGTAGTTTAAAAGCGAATATAGTCTTACGAAAAACTGCGGTAAAGAGTTTCCAAGCTTCTGATATGGCACCGACTTTAGACATGTTATCATTTCAGAAATGGTTACGTTTGGACAACCAACAATGCCCGACTGTTTTTTGGCAAGTTGCAGTTGATTCCGCCCAGTTGGGAAGGGTCCAAGTGGACTGCCGCTCATCGCCACCGCTTTATGGAATAGTCCTGGAAAATGCAACGTAATTCAATTATGAACTAGCGTCACACCAAGACGACTTGCTTAATTGATGCATTGATAAGATACCTTGTGACATTGGTGAAATCATGTGTAAAATAGCGGAAAATCCACCAGCGCTGTATCCTTGGATAGTGACTGAATCTGGATCTCCACCAAAACTAGCGATGTTTTTTTTGATCCATTTCAGAGCCTCAACCTGATCCTTCATTCCGTTATTTCCTGGAGCTTCTTTTGTCCCAGTGCTTAGAAAACCTATAAACAAGGTCATATTATTAATTTATAATGAACCATTATTATTTGTTTATTCTATTTTAGCCAGCTTGTTATAACCTATAAATGTTAAGGTTGACCCAGAATTCTTCTTGTTTCAGTGCCTTTCATGGACCGTGATATAAAGGGTGTCTCAAAATCAGTGACTGGCGTTCACGCGTATACATTAATTGTCTACGTCATGTATATTCATTGTATACATTGCGTATACAATGAATACAATGTAGACAATGATGAAGACTATGGACAAGCTCCACACGTACCACGTAGAGCGAGTACAATCTCGATTTTTAGAGAAACTTTTATGGACTGAGTCGACTTTTAAAAAAGATGATTGCATGAATCTACACAACTTGCACGAGTGGCATATAGAAAATCCACATTTGATGGCACAATATCGTTTTAAAGTAAATATGAGGACCGGGATTCTAAATGGCAGAATCATTGTACCCTTTGAGCTGCCAGAGTTCTTAAATGTAGAAATTTATGTAGACATTACAGAGACATGTGGTAACAGCCAGACGGCCGTCCGGCGCGCTATGCCCGTTCAGTTAGAGTATATTTTGATGCGGAATACCCGAGCAGATGGATAGGATGGTCTGGTACAATTTCGTGGCCAGCACGATCACCTGACTTAAACCCCCTCGATTTTTTTTACTGAGGAGTTATAAAAGAAAAAGTTTACTCAAGGCCAATCGAAAATCTAGCTCAGCTACGGAACAGAATAACGGAAGCAGCTGAATTTGTCAGTAACGGAGGATCGTTTTTAAGATGTCAAGATTGAACTGCTGATGAAGGAAGTCGTTGTGAATTTAACAAACACATTCACGAAATAGTAAAGGTGACGTGACTATCATTCTTGCTGTCACTACGAAGAATAACACTGTCCGTCACGCGGCCTAAAAAAAATTGACATTTGTAGCAATGGGAACTGAAAGATTTTTCCGTTTTTTTCCAATTTTTTTGAGGTCTATAATTTGAAAAGAGCACGACGTAGATTTTTGTATGTATATATCTGAAAACTATTATGACTTGGCCTATCGCTCGTTTAAGCCTTGAGGTCGACTTATGGGCTACCTTGTAGATATGCCTAATATCTGGAAGAAAAGCGTACTTTGTACCTAATGTTGCTAGTCTGTAGTTTACTGTAACGAGCACAATATCCTGATCAAGGTAATAATTAGGTCCAGTCCATACGCTGCTTGAGCCTACACTATAGAAACCACCAGCATGGATATACACAATTACAGGCCTTTTTGGATTACGATTGGCTTCAGGTAGCTGCAATAAAATATTCTTACAGAATTCTTGGCAAACATTGCTTTTAAAGGTAAGATAAACATAAATATGCTATTTATTACTTTTGTAGTGTAAACATTCAATATCAAACAGTCTTCTGATTGCGGAGACTCGGTGGGCTGTGGACATACGGGACCATCCTCTGTTGCATCATAAACATCTTTCCATGGACTTTTGGGCTTTGGTGGCTGAAAACAAACCTAAGTGATGAATTAAGTAGCAAAAAGTGTTTGTGCTAAGAAAGGCTGACTAGGAAAGGAACAGAAGCACGTGTACCGTGGCGTTTTGGTATCCACTCCAACTGCCTTCATCGCTGCATAACTATCTGCAAATAGCTGTAATTAAATACAAGATTTGAGAGTCTATTAGGTAGAAGCATTCCTTTCCTGTTCCTGTTACGAGTAAAATGCTGGAAAAATATTACAAAATCTATTACCTGAAATCTCAGTTCCCCAATGGGTGGCTCTGCATATCTGATTCCCCTAAACGAATATATAGTTCTTCCCAATCTAGACGTTGTAGTAGTACCGTTTATCTTTCCAAGTGGTGTCGTGATAATCACACAATTGCCATAGTCCAAAACATGGTTTATAAGCGTTAGGTAGAAGGGAAGTGATTTGATGGAAATCATTTCTTAAGATTCTGTAAAATAAGAAGGAGATGTGTACTTACAAGCTATCTTCGTACTGATACTGAGTTGTCTAGTTAATTTTTAAGTATCATTGATACAAATGAGCGATTTCTAACGGTAATTACCTTTTCAGTGATGATCGAAGTGGTATTAATAAAAAACGGTAGAGCCCCAGTGATGCTACTCAGAACGTGCTAGCCTATAGTTTATGCAAAGTGCTCACTTGAACAAAAGCTTTGGCTGCAATATAAAGATCTCTAGCGATTTTAATGGCGTAAACAAAGAGAGGTTTTTAAAGTGTATTGTATGTCTTTTAGCAAAATGAAACCAAGCAGTTGTACACCTAGGATCTAGTTCCATCTGGCTAAATACTCTCGGAATTTTTGTCATTTATAATTTAGAAACCGTTATAAATTTTTATGAGTAAGAATTAGGATCTAACTTTAATAATAGATCTAGGAAATTTTATTATTTTGGAATATAGCTGCTTTGTTGCTTTACTACCTATTCACCTAGAAAGGTGCCTTTTTACTTTCTCTAGTGGAAAAAGTTGTACAAGAATATGAATCACTGAATCTTGCGGTATTTGTTTATACAACCAGTCAAACTAAACCAAAGTCTTATGGTGGTATAGCATTTCATCGATGGTAGGCGCAACGGGTAACTCAGTAAGGCTAGAATGTAATCCATAAGCATATATTTCTACAGTCACCAACTAATTGTACATGCTCAGAGGATATAAATCCTCCCACAGCTTGACACGATCTTCGTACATCCGTTCTTTCATCACCAATTTTTCTCCAATATCCAAATACTTTTGAGTATCTAAGTTGAATGTATCCCATTTTACGTTATCAAGTGTTGGATTGCGTGTTGGTGTTGGATTTCTGAAAAAAAGCATTACTTAAATTATTTTGCCGTCACTCTTGGCATAGTGTCCTATATAAAGTATATATCATATTGCCTCTCCAATATTCAGTACCACTTAGAATACGTATACAAAAGCTGTAAGCTTTATTCATGTATTAGGTGATTAATTTCCTGTAAACAGTTTCATAAGTGTCACTTTGCGTTATATACATTGGAGAGACCACCTCGGTGGCTTTTTCCAAAGCACAACGTCAATTATGTGAATAATTTGCTAAGTCATTATATTTCAGCTTGCGTAGAAAGATGGCTAGAACGCTAAATTTTAAAATCTACATTCCAAATCTGTGGTTCTACCCGAAAGACGGGATAACATGGAGAGAAGTAGTTTTACGTGTATATTACATCTGAATAAATACAAAGAATGACTATACAGGTAGATAAACACGACCTGCTAGTTTGCTTACCCTGTTTTAGCAAAATTTGTATGTAGCGTTGTCAATGTTCGCACCATGTCTATTTCCGGTCTTGGTGAAGTAGCATTGAACATCGGGAATAATCTTTGGATGTAGAAGAGATATATCAGATCGTCATGATGTACCACCCCTACAAAGTAGAACAATTACGTCTGAACTACATGGGAAAGTCAAAAGAAATGGTCAGCGCAGATTTATGTCAGAGGGAGAATCTTCTTTTCGCCTGTTTGCAATATTCGCAGAAAGAAATTCCCTATAACTGTTACTGTAATTGCTCGATAAATGTTTTCTGAGTTTCACCATGAATACGATGAACAAATTTCTGTATTTTGAGAAAGAGTAAAGTCATTTCAAGGAAAAAATTGAGGTACCTTACCGTAAGGAACAGTGTTATTGGTTCCAGGAAGATAGAAATGGCTGTATCTACCTTTGAAACTGAACCTGTAATAATAAACGGGTTTCTTGTTGTATTGCGCCATTAGCTTGACAGCTCTATTGATAGGAAATGTTTCTATTGAATCCGAATAGATCTGAAAATAAGATCATCGCAGGTAATATACTTGTATGTTCTGGATATTCAGAAGGTAAGCATGTTCCACTCTTTTTAATAATCATTATTTATTTTATGCTTGCACCTATCGATTCATCAATAGGTACCCTGCATGCCAGAGAAGCTACAAAAGTGAGTGATGTTCGATTTGTGGCTTCTATATATACTAAGTGACATTTAAATCTGAACACCCAGTTTAAATGGTTTTATTTTAATAAAATTTTGTATAAGTACTTAATGAAGCATAATAAGTAAATGATAAAAATTTCAAAATGATTGCACTGCTTTAAAGCCCTTTGACGTTTAATAATGTGTGGATGCACCCTGATGTGCTGCGCATTCTCCAACGCGCCTAGGCATGCTTCTGATCAGGTGGTCAATGTCCTCCTGTGGTATCTCATTCCAGGCAACCACCAACTCCTCTCGAAGTGCTTCTAGAGTCTGAGGAGGACGTTGCAAATTGAGCAATCTCCTACCCATCATATCCCACACGTGCTCAATTGGGGATAAGTCGGGAGATCTTGGTGGCCATGGTAACAATGTGACATCATTATGTTGAAAGAAGTCTATTGTGACTCTTGCAACATGTGGTCGGGCATTATCGTATTGGAAAGTTGGATCTGCCAGGGTGTCAAGATAGGGTAAAAGATGGGGTTCTAGAACTTCGTGGATATAACGCTGCGCATTCATGTTACCTCTGATGAAGATTAAAGATGACCTGGAACCGTAAGCTATAGCACCCCAAACCATAACTCCAACAGTGTGATGAACATGTCTTTCAACAAAAAACTGTGGATTCCTCCTTTCACCACGTCGCCTACTTACCCTGGCACGACCATCGTGCATGCCTAAACAAAATCGAGACTCGTCACTAAAGACAATACTTTGGAGAATGCGTAGCACATCAGGGTGCATCCACACATTATTAAAGGTCAAATTTTTATCATTATTATGCATCATTAAGTACTTATACAAAATTTTATTAAAATAAAACCATTTAAACTGGGATTTATATGTCACTTAGTATACTATACTGCAGTGGCACTTTAACAACATTTTTTGAAACGGAGATAGAGGATGTTTTAAAACCGTAGTGTGGATAACGTTTGGATGAACTTGAGCTCTGAATCGGACCTCTCACTTTTGGCTGCAAGGATACTAAAGTGAGTAATTTCGTTCCAGTTTTAGGAAAATATTGGCCAATAGATCACATTTTGTATTTTCCAAAATAAAAACTAGCTCCAAGTGCTCTTGAGAAACATAAATATGTATCAGTTTTGTGGCGTCTCTTGATGCTCCTGCATTTTATATTGTAAAAGAACTTAGATATTTACTTACTTTACCTAGAGCTTCTCTGTTACTCTTACTAACTGGCTTGTCATCCAAATAAAATTTTCTTATAGCTCTGCTGACTTTCAATGACTGCTTAGTTCCCCTCTCGTATATGAAACTAATCGGGGCTATTCTATCCCAATCTTCGTTCATTTCCTTAGTCAAGGTTTCGTTGTTGACAACATCTGGTGGAATGAAATGAAGCATTAAATGAAACGGTCCAGAGCACAAATAAGAAATCTGCGAATGCTGGAAGTAATTCGAAAAGTTTTGATAGAACAGGCGCAGTGTGCTTTGTATGAGCAAACTTTGACTACGAGAAGTTGTTAAAAAGTACTAGTTGCTTCAAAGTCAGTGGCGTATGTATTTCGAGAAAAAAGACAATACAGTAATAGTATCTAAACCAATGCAGTTTCAGCAATCCCAGTTTCTAATGAAATGCAAACCTTGTACAGGGCGACATAAAACAGTGAAAAGATGCCTAGGGAAATGTCTCCGATCAGAGAAATTCGGATGAAAATCTGACACGAAAGCCTGCCAAAAATAGGTTACATTGTAGGATCTCCGTCGTTGTCACTGGACACATTCAAATAATGAATTGAAAGAAACAGGTCAAGTAATGACATGTGTGCTGTGTCCTGCAGATCAAAAGAGGTGAAAGATCATCAGGAATAAGTTAGTGGTATTTAACAAACTCTTTTTGCAAATCATAAAGCCTTTATGGCTTGCCCCCCCTCAGACAAAATTGGCCTCCTCATGCTCTCCAAAAAGTTTAGAGGGGCTAATATATTCCCATGGTATCCTTTGTCGGATTCTTTGCTGTACAAAGAATTTCTGGAGCATATAGAGGCCTTTCCACGGTGTTCAGCGGATCACAGTAAAACTTCAGGAATTTCGTTCATACACCCGTCTCCCTCACACGCACACACATTTTCAATTGGCCTGTATTCGCGGACGTTTGTTTATGTTAGCTCACAGACATATTTTGCTCAATTGTGTCTCACCACTTTGTGCTTGTGATTTGATATTGACCTAATATTCGATAAACACACATCAGTGCTTGCATACACCTAAACTGTCGACAGGTGGTGCTCAATGCTCCTTTCTCGGAAAGGAAGTGAAAACAACCGTCCTGAATCACCCAACTCATATGTGTGCAAGAACAGCAGCTGCGTTAAAAATTGGCCAGCGGCGTGCATGGTGTGCGATTTTTCTTAGGGCGGTTATGCTCAGGATTAGGTGAAGTTACTCAATCCGTTTACATATTTAGAATGGAATTGTGATGTAACCGCTGAAAACCGTGAAAAGAACTATATGTGTGCATTCACTGGCCCTCCTGGGAATAATTTCTGCGGGCGCTCATGGTAATTGGTAGAGTAGTTTTAAAATAATTGGTGACTCCAAGACCAATGAGCTAGGTTCGCATCTGTATGTATGATATCTGTAGTTGACGTTTATACAGCCCGTTATAAATTAGCTTGCTTATATTATTTCCACTATCCTAGATCGGGTGATGTACCCGTACCAATACTTATTAAAACGAGAACTCATCTGTAGTCTGCCCTGTGATAAAAGGTATATGCTGCAAATGGCCATTCATAATTAGGCGAATAGGATTGTCGGTAATAAATCTTTCTTGACCTACTTCAGGTTCTATCACCGGAGACCAAATTAAAACAGGATCGTATCCAAATTCCTAAAAATATTCAACAAGCGATACTTTTTGCGGATATACCGTTAATTTAAGTACACTTATAGATACTGACATAACACATACTAAGTTATTTGAATAGTTCCTGGACATAGAGAAGACATTAGTATCGAAAAACATTGCTGAACCACTTGGACACTCCCTACCCTTTCAAGCTGATCAGAAAATTATTTTTTTTGCACCGGTTTGAAGTGGACGTATTATAGGTAATATCTATTGTCATAGAAAATGCCATAATTTCAAAAGTTTGTACAGACGTTCATGAACAATGATACCAAAGACGACGTAGTTTTAGATATTAAACGGATGATATCGTATGAAATTGCTGAACCTATAAAAATATTATATGGTT